TTTTCTATTGAGAAAACTGGATATTTTTCCTGTTTATTTCTGGCTCCTGGCATTATAAAACACTTGGAGGGCATAAACAGAAGTGACAACTTTCAAAGTGCATAAAAAAAAATAATAAATAAAACCAGAGGCAAGTAAAAATGCATCTGATTTTGGAATCGTAGAATTGAAATAAATTGATTATAATAATATTCAATATATGCATTTATCTAGCTAAAACAGAATTCAGGCTGGTTTCAAATGTAAATGTAAAAGAAGGCTTGGCGTATTGTTCTTAATGTCTACATTTCACTACTGTGTAAATAGTACCTTTAATCAAATTTGCATATTCAGTCTTCTTTTAATAAACCGGATTTAGACGAATAAAAAAAATAATTACTAAATCACTCCCTAAAGAATCAGTGATTGGTAGGATTAATCTGATGGTCGGAGTTGAGTGGAACACCCTGGTTCCTCTCTGCTCTTACCGAGCTGCTTGGCGGCGGCGTAGGCCTCCTCAGGCGTACTGGCCACTGCGCCGGCGGGCACCGAGATGCCCGCCTCCCTCAGCAGGCCGATGCTCATGTACTCGTGCAGGGACAGGTTCCTCTGCTGCTGCAACGTTGCCTGCGGAGACGGCTGGTTGCCATGGTTACCGAACAACCCTGACGTCCCAGCGAGGACCTGATGGGAAACAAAGCAAGAAAAAATAGCAGTGAAATGGACACAGAAAAGGACAGATAAGATATTGTCAGGTAAGCTTACATACGGTCGTTGTGGAGAGGGATGAATCACAAAGTCAATAATCTCAGTCTAAATGTAATACAAGGAGAGCTCAGCCTTCCATTTAGTGAGTTTAAAAGAGAAAGCTGCCAAGATGTGAAACTAAGACCTTCTGAACAGCATGTGTAAGATAAATAAACGACCCTGCAGAAAGACTGTTACTTTCTCATAGTTTGAATACAATAACAAAGAAAAAAAAAACAAAAAAAAAAACAAAAAAAAACAAAAAAAAAACACATATATATATATATATATATATACACACACATATATATACACACACACACACACACACACACACATATATACACATATATATATATACACACACCAATTAGCCGTAGCTTTAAAACCTCCTTCTTGTTTTTACACTCACTGTCCATTTTATCAGCTCCACTTACTATATAGGCGCTCTTTGTAGTTCCTCAATTACAGACTGTAGTCCATCTGTTTCTCTGCATACTTTGTTAGCCCCCTTTTTTCCCTGTATTTCAGTGGTCAGGACCCCCACAGGACCCCGACAGAGCAGGTATTATTTGGGTGGTGGATCATTCTCAGAACTACAGTGACTCTGACATGGTGGTGGTGGTGTGTTAGTGTGTGTTGTGCTGATTGGAGCAGATCAGACACAGCAGTGCTGCTGGAGTTTTTGTACACTGTGTCCACTCACTGTCCACTCCTACCTTGATGGTCCGCCTTGTAGATATAAAGTCAGAGACAATAGCTCATCTGTTGCTGCACAGTTTGTGTTGGTCATCCTCTAGTCCTTCATCAGCGGTCACGTGACGCCGCCCACAGGACGCTGTTGGCTGGATATTTTTGGTTGGTGGACTATTCTCAGTCCAGCAGTGACACTGGGGTGTTTAAAAACTCCAGCAGCACTGCTGTGTCTGATCCACTCGTACCGGCACAACACACACTAACACAGCACCACCATGCCAGTGTCCCTGCAGTGCTGAGAATGATACACCACCCAAATAATATCTGCTCTGTGGTGCTCCTGTGGTGGTCCTGACCACTGGGTGAAAGGGCACTAACAAAGTATGCAGAGAAACAGATGGACTACAGTCTGTCACTGAACAACTACAAGGTTTGTTGACCAAAAACATTCCTTAAAAAAATAATACAGTTTGCATCCATTTTAAATGTACAAACTGTACTAAACGCTAAAGCTCTATCCGTAGCGTTGGTTGTGGCTGAGTTTCCTGTCAACCGCACAGGGTCAGTAACCGGTCAGCATTTGCCTATTTTTGCTGACCCATACTGTCTATACTGAAACAAAAGAACAACCGCATTAAGAGCAACAATAAACGCTCTTGACAGAGTCACAGGGCGTCATGATTTACTGTGGGAACAAATGAAGGGCTTGCCCAGCTACATACAACCTCCGTTAAGGGGGTCTCCACTAAAACAAGCTCATACAGAGCGGAAGAAGTGGTGACACCTGTGAGCGCTAGCTAGCTAAACACCAGTCAGCTAACTTAGCTAACGCTAAATAGCGGATGTTTTATGCGACACTGAGGTCCATGTTTAGCTAAACCCCTATTAAAGCTGTGTGGAAATACTATCTGCCTGAGGAGCGGAACGGAGGAGAATTCATTTCAAGGAGGTCAAACTGAGCTGGAATAAAACGAAGGGAACGCTATCGATACAGTATTTATGAGGAGGCGCCAGAATGTAACTGCTGTACCATTTAAGGTGGAACCGGACAATTCGACTTCAAATAATTAGCATTGAGCTCTCTTTCCAGCCGGCCGACTCCTCCAGGCTGAAAGTATTTTCTTAATTGTATTATGGTTAAATGCTTTATAAATACTCTAAAATAGTCGTTATTAGTGACAAAACACGGCTCAGCATCGGCATTAACAGCTCGCAAGCTAATTCGCCTGGCTTTATGTTGATGTTGATAGGCTGGGCCAGTTAGCTCGGAGCTAGAAAGCTAGCTAGCTAGTAAGCTAATGTCAAATGTGAAGCCCGTCTTTAAGGTCATCCCAGGCGGGTTACAGGAGTCCACAGCCACACGAAAAAGACAGGACATAATCACCGGATGTGTATTTTTTCTGTAAAACTAACCTTAGCGGCTGAACCCAAAGTCGTCCGGGACCCAGAACTCCTCAGTCCAGCGGACAACCGGCCGCAGATCAGGGACGCTGCCATGTTTCTCTCAGCACCAGCAGGGCTCTGCAGAAAGAGATGTCACTGGTAAACGAATCGCTTTTTGATCCGGTTCTTTTTTAATGAGCCCGTCGAACCGATTCACAAATCCAACTGAATCGAACGAAGCGGTGCGCTGTGTTTAACTCGTGCTTCCCCTTCCTTTTCGCTTTTAACGGAATTAAGTGTTTACTGTTCATGCTGTGTTGTATGGTTTTCTACATCGCTATTTTCTATATATGGTCATTGTGCATATGCATTTCATGGCCTGGTATTGGAGCTTTTGTCACTAGGACATCTCATTACAGCGAAATAATCTCTGAATCGGACGTTTGATTCGAATTATTGAACAGACAGTTCAAAAGAGTCGGTTCCCTGGCCTGAATCGAACTCACCGTGCCACTAAGCAGACGCGCATGCGTACGCGCAGACTGATGCAGCGTTCACAAACCTCTTCGCCAAAAAGCAGAGCGGAACCTTCAAAGCCATAAAGATTTCAGAAAAGCGCCCAGCAACATCAACCGCATATTGAGGCCACGAGTTAATATAAGTAATTCGTGGTCTCAGTATGGTAAATTGTGGCCCCAATATAGTAATTTGTGGCCTCAATCTGTTCAGTTATGGTCTCAATATAGTAAATTGTGCCCCCAGTATAGTAATTTCTGGCCCCAAAATAGTATTTCATGGCCTCAATATAGTAATTTGTAGTGTAGTGAAGTGTAATTTAAATTCGTGGTCTCAGTGTGGTAAATTGTAGCCCCAATATAGTAATTCATCTGTCTCAATGTAGTAAATATAGGCCCCAATATAGTAAATCGTGGCCCCAGTATAGTAATTTGTGGTCTCAGTGTGGTAAATTGTGGCCCCAATATAGTAACTTGTGGCCTCAATAAAGTAATTTTTTATGGTCTCAATGTAGCAAATTGTGGCCCCAATATAGTAATTCGTGACCCCAAAATAGTAATTACTGGCCTCAATATAGTAATTTGTGGTCTCAGTATAGTAAATTGTGGACCCAATATAGTAATTTGTGGTCTCAGTGTGGTAAATTGTGGCCCCAATATAGTAATTCGTGGTCTCAATGTAGTAAATTGTGGCCTCAATATAGTAATTCATGGCCTCAATATAGTAATTTTTGGTCTCAGCATATTAATTTGTGGCCTCATTTTAGTAATTTGTAGCTTCATTATAGTACCTTGTGGCCACAATATATTAATTTGCCTTATATATACATCTTACACTTTATGATTAATATTGTCAAACAGAATCATCCATTAACGCAGTGTTGAAATTGTCATTTTATGAACTACAAATAAACAATTTATTTTTAATTAAACAATTTCGCAATATTGTATATTGACTTTCAACACAAATTGCCTATGTATAATTCTCAGGCTACATCTGGTCGCTAATTCTTTTCACATCTCACTCCGTTTGTAAACAGTGATTCATAAAATTGTATTTTATTTTAGTTTATTTTGCTAATTAATTAGCATGGAAGTTGTTAATACATGAATTGTGATTCTTAATTGCAAGGACTAAGAGGTAAGGCTATTTTTTGACTTTGAAAATAAAATGGCACATCAAATGTAATTAATTGTAGGAATGAATGAGCCGTCTAGAATAAAAAGCCATCAGAACTGCATGTGTTTCAATATTTTATGTATATGTATCACCCTATTTATTAATGTAAGCTACTTTCCTTCATTTGTGTCTTTTTAAGTACTATTAGTTGTTGTTGTTTCAAATTAAAAAAGGAGAAAAGGAAACAATACAAAGAGGAGAAAAGGTGGGGAGGGAAGTCACGATCATAATGTCATTTATTAACATGTCATGCAGTTTTTTCACCAAACTAATCTTAAAAACTAAAAGACTTAATAACCGGTTTCTCAACTGTTGTTATTTTTCTCCGCCTATGTTGCTGTTGCTATGGAAACCGCCCGCCCTCGCTGAGCGTCCTTTTACCGTTCGTTCTGATTGGCCGGCTGAAAAAAGTGGCTGACGTCACTCTGCGCTAAGAAGTTAAACTTTATTACTTTGAACGTAAACATCACTCTGAACGTGAAATTCACCGACCTACCAGAAAAAGCATCTTCGTTTTTTTATTCTTTTTTATTTCCCCCATTCTGAGTAATTTGGGGCTGCTTCCCAAAAGAATCCAGGTTAGACAGCCTGTAAAACCACGAAGACTGTGAATGTATCTTTACGCTATTTCCGTATCTGCGCACCGTGAAAGGCGTAAGCACCACATGCTAAAACCGGAGGGCCTACTTTCACAATTCACCGGAATACCTCGATTTACGCTGCATGTCTTATTGAAATAAGTACCAGAGTTAGCTTTGTTGTGAATGACTGTAATGTGCTTTTAAGTTGATAATGACCTAATTCCGCTGTAAATATGTTATTGGCCAGAAGATTCATATGTCAAGGAGGACATCAGTGAGTATTGGTCTTTTACATGTCCTCTTATAAAGACTGACTGAAAGAGTTTTAGGAGTGCTAAACCCTTTATACTGTCAAATAACTAACCTTCCTTGTCGTGTCTCAGGTTAACTAAAATGGCAGATGCAGTTCAGAGCTCAACCCCAAGGCGGCCTGGTGTGGGAATTGGAGTGCTTGTCACTGATCCCACTCAGCCGGGGTGTGTGCTTTTAGGGAAAAGGAAGAGCTCGGTTGGAAAGGGTGCCTATCAGTTACCTGGAGGCCACATTGAATTTGGGTGAGTAAGCCCAGGGTTGGGATGGAACTGAATACAAGTATTGGGAATATGTATTCAGAATACAGAAATTGAGTATCTGCAGAGCCCTGATGATGACATCCTTTATAAATAAAAATAATGCGTGGCCACGTCTTATTAACGCGTGGGAACAAGATCCTGGATGACCGCTTGGAGGGACGAGATGCTGAGTGAACTTGCCCAGAAGTGCTGAACATTCAACCAACCTCAGAATGCAGTTACTTTTTATGTTTTTAGGAGAATACCTTTAGAATACTCACACAGTAAATGTTAAAAATATATACGATATTTACAAGGAACACTTCTTTATTAGCTTTATAAAATCAGAGCACAACATGTACCATACACTCTTGTTAGACGATTTCTAAAGAGGAAGACTGATAAATCAATGTGAGGATCAGTTATTAATCTCAGTGTTACTGAGCTCTGCTAAAGCCTGAGTAGACTGATAAATCAATGTGATTATCAGTTATTAATCTCAGTGTTACTGAGCTCTACAGGCGTATCTATGCTACAGGCATATGTACAAAATACATTACTGCGACACTATAAAATCTTTAATTAACACAAGACGTCCACAAAAAAAGTACCACTATGCATCAAAAAGTGATTTTACTGCAGAATATTAAAGTAACTGGTAGCCAAATCAACAAGAAAGGCAATCAGATTTGTTCATAAGTCAAGAATCAATATCTATCAATCCAGAATGTCACATTACATTAATAAAAAATAAGTAATTTTACTGTAGTATTGAAGGGCTATATCCAACATTTCATTTTTTCCACGTGAGGTCCACTTATAACATTTGTGTGATTTTATGTAACAAAAACAGTCATGATGCATTTTCACATCACTATTTTTCAGCCTCTCTTTATCCCTTAGAATTAAACAGGCTTTTTGTGTTACTGTGCATTTAAGACTGATATAAGATAAATTAGCTTTGTTCTGATTGGCTGCCCTGTATTTGGCCTATTCAAAATCTTAGAAATTAGATATGAATGGGCAGGGCTAAAATGCTGTAGGCTGAATAGGTGGATCTATGTAAATGTGTTGGTTCTCATGACATCACAAAATCATCCTGGACTGCTTTTTATACAGGGCACAATACAGGACAGCCAATCAGAAGAGAGTTTGTTTACATATCTCAGTCTTAAAGACACGGTAACAAAAGCAGCCTGTCTAACTCTAAAGGATGAAGAAAAGATAGAAATGGTCATGTATAAATAAAACTGTAATGTCAAAATAAAATACAACTAAAAGGCACGATATTGGCCTTTTAAAAAAAATACACCAAAATGGCAGGACATGTGCCCTTTTAACTGGCAGCCCAGAGTAGCTCACCTGATTTGTGTGGTTGTATTATCTATGAAAACACAAAGATCAGATGAGATCGGTACTTAAAATTAAAGTGCTCGGATCATATTGGAGGGCAAAAATGGATTGGGGCATATCTAAATGCAAGCAGCAGATTTAGCAGTGTTTGGCAATTTGCATGTTAATTTGAATAATATAATAATACGTGCTGTGTTTCTCTTTGTTAATTTCATAAGCAATGTTTATAGATTTCAGAACCCTATACAGTCCAGTGGCAACTGTTATGACATTGTTATACATAGTACAGAGAAGCACCTTACCTTATGTGAGAAACCTACCAAAAATCTGCTCAAACCTCTTCCTAATGCTGAATGTTTGTCTCCAGCTGAATTTTGTGTGCATCCTCTGCAGAGAGACATGGGAGCAGTGTGCGCAGAGAGAGGTGATGGAGGAGGCCGGGATACAGCTGAAGAACATCCATTACGCCTCTGTAGTGAACTCCATCAAGCTAGAAGAAAACTATCACTACGTTACAATCTTCATGCAAGGAGAGGTGGACAGGGCCTTCCCTTCTGAGCCTGTGAATATGGAGCCAGAGAAAAACGAGGGTAAGTATGTTTGTAAATTGTGGTTTGTTAGTCTGAGCATCACTTCTAAAATAACAGTAGTTATTCTGATAAGATGGAAAGAAAACGTTCAACAGTTTTTCAAAATGTCACCAGCATGTTCTTAGTCAAAATGTAACAGTGCTGGAAACAACTGCTCATATCAACACCATCTTAAGGGGCATTCCATTCCTTTATTGGATGACCGCTTGGAGGGACGAGATGCTGAGTGAACTTGCCCTTCAACCAACCTAGCATGCTGAAGTCTTCATGGCTAAAAACAACAAAAGCAAAGGCGATACACTATAACTGTAAAGCAGTGTTTCTAACCAGATAAAGCAATTATTCGCGTACGTTATTTATGTTAAGTTCAGGCTCCTCAATGTTTTGCATTGCAGTTGGCTTAACAAGCTAAGTAGCAAAGTGCAAACCCCATTGAAAAATCTGCTTAAAAGTGAAAACACACTTTAAACTGACTTGGACATTAAGCTAAAATCCTTTTGCTTTGAGTGACTTAATTATGTTTGTTTTGTTAAAAGAAACGATTGAGCATTTCCTTTTGTCACTACCAATACAATCATAACACTACCGAAACTTTACCAAATGTTTCAGTGGTGACTGTTTCGGTAGAGACAATTTTAGCTAATTTTGAGCAGAACTCAGCCAGTGCATGACTAGAAACACGGTAATGTACACACATAAAATCATTATATCTTTCATTAAAACACAAATAAGCTATCTTAATTGCAGAAAACATATATTTCAGTAGTGACAGTTTTTAATATTACACACTAAAGTTCAGACTTTGGGACACAAAACAATGGGATCTAACTGCTCACCATGTGGCCATGAGGGACAGGGATGCAGTCTTACTTTCTGCTCTTAAATGCAAGATTTTGGCTGAAATTAAGCTCTGCCTATGGACTAAAACTCTTTGTGTTTTGATAATGAAATGAAAACGTGGGACAGCATTTTTTAAACGAAACTTTAAAAAAAATCTTTCAACTTGAAATCAATAAAAAATATTTTAAGTGTTAGTTGAAATTTAGGAGTTTAGGAGCAAACTCTTAACACCTCAGACACCTCCCAATACAAAGTACCCTATAAAATATGATTTTGTGTATATTTTTACCGTGTCTATTAATGCCTTGGGTTTAAACAAATTATAACATAATCATTGTAAATATCTAAGGTCTGAATACTTAATACTTTTTTAAATACTTTTTTTTTTTCTGTGGGACTGCAGTTTGAACTAATTTGGTAAAATTGACCAGGTATTTAAAAAAAAAGAATTTAAACAGGGTCCAGGTCTTTTATTGGGGTTTGTCTTGATGTAGAACGTAGCTGATTCATCTGTCTTCTAATGAGAATTAAATGGCCTTATTTTGAGTGCAGCTTCACCTAATAGGGCCTACTATTTTTTATGTTCACATTATAAACCTCAGGACACACACATTGATTAGTAAATATACAATACTGACAAATAGATGAGACTTTTTCATTCAGAAGTTACTCATTTACCCTGGCTTTTAAAGGGGTATTCCTACCTAAAACTAGAGTTTACTATGTTATTTACTGTTATGTAATGTGCAGTAGCGAAACATAAAACAGCTGAGCCTCACTGGTTTGACAGAATATACGTTGTTTTCATCTTTCTGTTAAACAGTGACACTACAATACCCAGAATGCCATATGCCACGTGTCAGGCTTCAGTCCTTGCGGGACTTCAGCACTCTGCCTCATTAAACACACCTTATTCAGCTCATCAGCTCATTAGCAAAGCCTTCAAGAACTACATTTAGAGCGTTAGATGGGGGTGAATGCTAATCTGCGCAGTACTTTAGTACCTAGTTTGACATTCCTGCTTTATGCAAATACATCATACAACAATTGGGAATCTCTGCGGTGTCAACCAATCCACTCCAATCCTGGCCACGCCACTAATCTATAGGCTTAATAAATGCAACTAAAGCTAACATTAGTGTAGCACTCATCTCGATTGTCAAACAAATTTGTAAAGATAACAGTAAATCTTTTTGGCACAAAATGGATGCCAGATTGCCAGATAGCTGCTTTACTTGTTCTTCTCACCTGACAAATTATTTTTGTCACGTGAGTAATCCGTTCTCTCCACTGTAATGATGATTTGAGGACTTATTACAGTTATACGACTGCAGTAAGATATTTGGCTTCCTAGCAGTAAGGTTAGCTATCTGCCTTCCTTATCTGCGTTCACCAGCTAATATAAAAATCCGAAACAGCCCAAAAATCCACCCCAAACCCCAACGTTTTAGAACAGTGTTCCCTCTACCTGCATGTTACATCATCAGCAGAAGGTTTTACTGTCTTTTAAAGCAGAAAATCTTACTCTGGTGACAGCTGTGGTATAGCTGTGGGACGCAAGTCAGCATCTTTAAAACAGAAGCAACTCAAGTTAAATTTTTCATTTGGTGCCCTTTTAAGACCAGAATATGTTCAGTTTCACTAATAGTTTTGACTGTTTTCTCTGTTCTACATTCAGGGTGGATGTGGAGACTTTGGGAGGACTTTCCCTCAGAGGAGCAGCTCTTCTTGCCGCTGGCTAATTTGAGACAACAGGGTTTCCAGCCGTTCAGAAACAGAGGCAAAGATCTAATGTAATCGGTAAACTCTGTGTTTACTTCACTGTGAGAAGATATGCTCTTTGAACAACATCAGCAACTGCTTTCTCTAACCTCATCCACTGGGATAAAGCAGGCACATGAAATATGGCTTACCAGCAGAAAGAGGACTGTGTGTGTGGAACTGAGTGGAAGGTGCAGGTGTCTTTCACTGGCAAGTGCAGTGGCACAATCCACCAAGAAGTACATACATACGTACATCATCTAAACCACTTATCCTTCTGGGTTGCGGTGGGGTGCTGGAGCCTATCCCAGCTGTCATTGGGCGGGGGGCAGGATACACCCTGGACAGGTTGCCAGTCCATCGCAGGGCAGACAGACAGACATACATACATACACAATCACACACACATTCACACATAGGGGCAATTTAGCATGTCCAGTAGGCCTGACTGCATGTCTTTGGACTGTGGGAGGAAACTGGAGTACCCGGAGGAAACCCACGCAGACACGGGGAGAACGTGCAACACCAAGAAGTAGATTCAATTAAAGTTGATTGATAATTTGATAAAATGTGTCTTATTCAAGGTGTGCTTTTCTCTAATGATGCAGCAGTTGCGTAGGTAATATAAAATTTTGCTAAATGACCTACAGATCCACAAGTTCACATTATTTTGAAGTAGGGAAAGGTGGGAGAAGAACGGTGCCTGTTTACTGTAAAGCTAAACCATGTCTGTGCATGCTTAGTATGTACAGGATGATGATGAACAAACCTACACACAATTAGTGCAAAAAAATCAGATCAGTAGGCAGTTTTGTTTTTATAGCACCAAAAAGAGGCAGTACCAGCCTAGAGAGTTAGAAGCCCCCCAGGCAAATCTTGCATCAAATTGTCATATAAATTGTTTGGAGCTCTGTAGTGAGTGATGCAGCAGAGGATAGGTGCTGTGCGCTTCAGCACTCGGCGGCCCCGCTCTTTGAGTTCGCATGGTCTACTGCGTGAAGGTTGAGCTGTTGTTGCTCCTGGACACTGAGCGCTTTGGCACGACCCATTCTACTGCCAGTGTTTGTGTATAAATTTTTTAATTGCAAATGATTTGATGAATTATGAATGCAATTTGGCTTAATATAGCCTAATCATTTTATACTGTTCCCAGTTTGAGCCTCAGGAACCTCATTATGAACCACTTATCTTGATCGTCAAGCAAATTTGTACATATAACAGTAATTCTGAGGAGAAAATGCTACATTTAGAAACTTAAACATCTGAAATGTTCAATGCTTCTAAAAGCTACATCACAAGAAGGTATTACATAAATGAGATATATGAAAGTTTGAGGTTTTGGCCGAAAACTATATATATATATATATATATATATATATAAATCACTGTTGTTGAAACAAAACCTCGATTTTTGTCGAATTTCAGTTTTTGACACAAGTTGAAAATGCCTGTTGTCCTTTACATTGTGTGCAAATTTCATGATGAATGAACTTGGAAAAAAGTCTGGTTCCATTGACTTACATTAAAAGTAAAGTATGCCTTTTCCTTCTCCTGTAAAGTTACCATTTTGGAGATATGAAGTTTTGTTCTGACAACAGTGATATATATATACATACATGTGTATATATATGCAAATTTTAAGAAAAACTAAAAAAGTACTGCACTGTGGTAAAGACTTTTCCTTGTTTTGAGTACACTTGGCATTCAGCATGTCCTGTTATATTAGTGTTGGCAGACAACTTCTACCATCAACACAAATCAACACAGAGTTATGTAGGACAGTTATGTAGGAAATACTGATTATGGAATATGAATATGATATGAAAATATTACATTAACTGCTTTTCTGTAACACCTAGATTGTTTCTCACACTTTTGTACACCTTTTATACTTTTGTATGATGTTTCAGTTGAAAGTAGGTTTGTTAGGCTCAGAAAAAAAAAACTTTATTTACATACATGTATTTAGAAAAAAAATGACATTAATGACTGATCAACAACAGTATTCATTAATAATACTTTAACATTTACACGGTGCTGCTTCAGTTGAACAGATGCAATCTTGTAATTCAATAACTTATGTAAATGCGTTTGTAGAGTGAAATCAGACAACAGACATAAATAAAACTGGTGTTTTGGCCCAAAATAGGCTTCACAAATTATATCAGCTTAGTATATTTAGCAACAATGTTATGTGTAAAAAAGTGTTATGACCCTACGGAAACTGATCTCATTACACGTTACGCTAAAAATGTTATCCACTGCTTAGGCCTGAATGTGTCTGTAGTTGCAGAAACACCCACATAATTCTCAAAATACATACGTGGTGGAGAAGTATGCAGGGCATTGTAAGGCAAATGTATCTGTATTCAGTCCAGGGCAGTTTTCAGAATACAGTTACCTTTTACATTTTTATGAGATTACTTTTAGAATACTTACCACTAAATTTAAAAACTAATACCATCTTAAAAAGAAACACCATCAGTGCTTGTTTATCAACTAACTAACAGCATATAAACATACTCCAAAGAAGAACTTAAACGGGTTCTTGATAAACCCTGAAGTTCCTGCTAAAGCCTGAGTAGACTGATAAATCAATATGATGTGAGTTATAAATCTCTGTGTTACTGAACTCCTTTGAGAGATGATGGAACTGAACAGTCTCCTCAGTAGTGGACTGATGTTCATGAGTGATATCTGTGTTGTACTGGTCTTGTGTATTCTTGGCAGGTTAAACACATGCCATTAACTGAAAATCACAGCTACCAAATTTATAGTCAAATTTGCAAAATTTTATTTTTGGGATATGGCAAATTTTTGGCTTAGTCCATGAGATGGCAGTGGGATTATGGGGGCAGCAGTGGACCGAAGCAGGCGATGAGAGCCAAAATAATGTTGAGAATTTTGTAACTTCATTTAAACAAGTGTTTTTTTCATGAAACATATTAACAGGAGAATTAAATGAGGAAAACCTCCGAACAGAAACAGGGACGAGCCACGTGAATACAAATTTCAGCAGCAGAGTTTTTCCCATGTGCCTTCAAGATGTACTGTAAATGTATTCTGAATAGGTTGCTGTTTTCAGCCATCACTACAACATTCTGTCCAATCCTGCTTTTTACATCTTAATGACGGAATTGTGCGGATTTTTGGGGAACATCAATGGAATTTCCCTTTAATGTGGGCTGTCTATATTGTTATTATCAGTAGCGCCCCCTACCGACTCCCTTAAACGCCTGTGTTTGTGTAAATGCGTCACAGCAAGTTGGAAGCAGAAGCAGACATTGTTCGGGTCCGGCTTGGGTAGGTTAGTTTAGGCAGTTTAACTTGGTTCAGACCGCGGGGTTGTACTTTCTGCATAGCTAGTCAGGGTCAGCCATGGTTAAACTAACCTTTACCTCGGCCCTTGGCCAAAAAGACCTGAAGAAAGGAGAAAAGGATGAAGCGCTGATTCCACAAAAAGGGGTGAGTTTACAAAGACGACGGACCAGTTTCTGTTAGCGGAGGTAACGTTAACGTCAACTTAACGTACCTGACGAAGTCGGTCACTTCTCAGATAGCTTATAACGACATTCCTCAAAATGAGTTTGGTTATTTACAGATCTTACTTGCTAAATCATGTCTGTATATTGACAGAAATTGTTACATGGAGGGCATAAATAGAGCTTCAAATCGACTTTAACCTGCGTTTTGCTAGCTGTGTTAGCAGCCAGGCTGGTTTTTTAATCTCTAACCGAAAGTGTCGAGTGTCGTCAGTCAGGAAGTCCAGAACGTTGTGGCCGAAATTTTCTGGAAATAACACCGAAGAAATGCCTCTAGACATGCCACTTTTGGTTTTGTTTGAGTGGACAAGTCCCTGGAGACATTATTTCCTGTGGCTCTTCGAGCTCAGTAACTCCATGAAAAGGCTCGGCCCCTGAACATGAAGGCAGAGTGTGGGAAAATGGCTGACTTCAGAAAACGCTGCTGGTAGTCGAGATGGCTAGAGATTGACAGTCGCCTTAGCTATCCTTACATTCAAACAGCACTCAGTGATATTGTTGTCAAGTCCTTAAGACTGGCCTGAATAAATCTGATGGCATTTTTAGTACGTTTGTTGGTTTATTTTGCACCTACCCCGATTCGTGCCTTTCACAAATAAAAGTAGGAGACGAAGCAACTGTTATTGTGTTCAGAATGACCAAGTCCTCAAGCTAGAAATCGTTTCTGTCGTCTGTTTTCGACTGTAAACTCTTAGTTTCAGGCCGTATGGACAGGCTCGGATTTCATTGAGAAGTCTCAGCCTATTTCTGTTTGAATGCGGAGGTGCCAGACTGAGCACGTCTGTCTGATTGTTGTGGGCGAGTCGAGTGTAAGAGATGCAGCCAAACCTGCACTGAAATCTGCTAATGATGAGTCAGTGTGATACGGGCCAGTTAGGCTTTTCACGCTGAAACATTGTGAAATATTAATGAAATACAGCCAGAGGAGTGTACAGGAAAGCTGGGGCCATTCTGCTACACAGCCTGCTGCAAAACAGGGAAGCAGCAGAGAGGAACTGCAAATGAATTATGTTTTTGTTATGGATTGAAAATAACAATTCCTTAAAAGGAAGCTGGTGTTCTCATACAGCATGAACTGAAAGTAATGATTAGATAGTAGAACATTTGATTGCATTGCATGCAGGGGCTGACTGGTATAAGAACTGCACTACTGCAAATGGATCTCATGGCCAAAATAATTGAAGCATGTTTGTCATATATGCGTTGTATGTCCAACCCAATTTCCAAAAAAGTTGGGATGCAACTTTTTGCGCAAATCATTTAAAACCTGTATTTAAAGGAAAATACTACAAAGACTGGCTGTGATCTTTGGGCCCTCAGATGGCACTGCATTGCATGGAAGGGGCTCAGAAACCACTGTCTGTGAACACAGTTCATCACTGCATCCACAGATGCAAGTTAAAACTCTAAAATGCAAAGAAGAAACCATATAGAAACAGGATCCAGAAATGCTACCACCTTCTCTGGGCCCAAGCTTATTTAAAATGGACTGAGGGGAAGTGAAAGTGTTCTGTGGTCTAAAAAAAACCTTTAATATTCTTTTTGAAAATCATGGACGCTGTGTCCTCCGGGCTAAAGACCACTCAGCTTGTTATCAGTGCACAGTTCAAAAGCCAGTAGTCATGATGGTATAGGGAAGCATTAGTGCACATGGCATGGGTGACGTGCACATCTGTGAAGGCACCATTAATGCTGAATGATGCATGCATGTTTTGGCAGTATATGCTCCAGATGACGTCTTTTTCAGGGAAGGTCTTGATTATTTCAGTAAGACAATGTAAAACCACATTCTGCATGTGTTACAACAGCATTGCTCAGTATTAAAAGAGTCGTTAAACTGACCTGCCTGCAGTCCAGACCTGTCACCCACTGAAAACACTTGGAGCAATATGAAATGAAAAATATGACAAAAATGACCCCGAACTGTTGAGCAGCTGAAATCCTACACCAAACACGAATGAGAAAATGTTTCACTTTCAGAACTACAGCAGTTGGTCTCCTCAGTTCCCAAACACTTACAGAGTGTTGTTAAAAGAAGAGGTGATGCAGCACAGTGATAAACATGCCCCCGTCTCAACTTTTTTGGAACGTGTTGTTGGCGTCAAATTCAAAATGAGCATATGTTTTTCAAAAAACAATAAACTTTGTCAGTTTCAACATTCAATATTTTGTTTTAATAGTATTTTCCTTTAAAAATATGGTTTACATGATTTGCATAATTGCATCCTATTTTTATTTACATTCTGCACCTTCTGCACAACTTTTTTGGAAATGGGGTTGTAGAATGAACAAACATGCTTCAGTACCAAAATAGTCAGATATTGCTTTGAAAAAAGGAAATGTTTATTAAAACTGTACATGAAGAAGAAAATTTCCGCTGTGGTGACCGTGGTGGTCCCCTTTACCAAGCTGGTACATGTCATGTGATCTAGGCTGTCATTGGGTACCCTGTTTTAATAGAGTGATATCAGCAAACTTTAGCCTGTGGAACAGTATCTATATGGTATCTAAGTAGAGCAGCTCGATCGATGTCAGTCGTAGGTAACGATATTGGGTTGATGTCTGTGTGGGAAAAGATGATTACAATCCAATCCTATAGCAAATGTATCCTAAAATGGCACGTAGTCGGACTGTGGGATGTGATGTTGTTAGCTGTGTATTTCTTTCTGTGGTTAAGTGGAGTGTTTGAGTATTTTGATTATAACCTACTTTTAGATGTTGATCTTAAAGGAGAAATCCAGAGAGAACCTTACTAAGTCAAAAATGTTCACAGTAAGGGTGATAAAAACCACATGTCTGAAGCATTTGGTGCATCTAAAATCTACTTTGCAGAAAGTTACTGCATGAAATGGTTCGAAGTTTGATGTTTGAGACAATAATTTTGAGGTAAATAATTTTTTTAATCCATTCATGGTGAAAGATACATGCAGGGTGTTGTAAGGCAAAAAGAAAAATTATTTTTCAGATTTACCATTATTGTCAACATTATCAACTTTACATTACACACATATAAAGTCAGATGACGGGTGTAGGTTCACTGGTAGTTTTGGATAGTAAAGAAAATGGTTATGTTTACATTGTGACCCCTGGTTCTTATCATCACCACTGTAAAAACATCTGATTTGGTGAGCTTATCTAAAAGGACCAATTTCACATCAGACTAGTCTGAATGACTTTTTCTTCACATCACTGATTGAATTATGCGGAAGTTTTGATAAGTTGGTGGAATTCGCCTTCAAGCAAAGTGCTGTCTCAAATGAAAGCTTAGTAGCCCTCAGAGAAAAATATCAGATTGGTATCGGCCGATGCTCAAGATTTTGTTATCAGTATTAAAAAAGAAAACATTCTAAAAGGATCATGTCACCATGGTTTGCTGTCATTGATTCCCCACTAGATAAGCAGTAAGAACAGTATGTGTGGTCTGATTCTGCTGAAGTGAAGACGGTCTCTTGGATCTCTGTCACACAGGTGATCAAAGCCTGGCTGAGGCCGTCTGGCTGGATCTGATCCTTTAAAGCAGAGTTTTTTTTCTCCCTTTCAAAATCTCCTACCAGTTCTCCTACCGTTTCAACAAAGACGGCCTCTGTTAGGCCTAAGCTGTTTTGTGTGTGTGTGTTTGGGAGTCGAACAGGCTGAGTGTGTTTGGGGATGAGTGAATGGTGGACAGGGTGAAACTGGAGCCTTTCCGTGTTTGATTTTCAGAGGAGATTTAAGGAAGCAGCTGGTAAGAAGCAGGATTGCGTAATGAATATCACATGCCTGATCAGTATATGTTTATCAGAGTTTCTGATCAGTAGACAATGTGGAACATTTTAGCTGATCGAATCAGATTTGTTTTCCCACTGTTGTTGTTTCAAGCTGGAGTTGTGTATTTTGGCAAACCGCTGGCTTGTGGTCGTGTGCGAAAAAGCACCTAATTGTAACCATTCAATTTTGTTAGAATGAAAGGTTCAGCCTGTCTGGAATGTGCTGCCTGCATTAAAGCTGTAGTTCAGCAAAAAATAAATAAATTTACAGTTTTCCTTTCACACAAAAATGTGATCAGCCAGTGGTGGACAGATGTTAAGATTTGGCCAAATTTCTAACCAATATTTGATGATGTGTTTAATAAACTCCGAAGAGCAGAATGTTTATGTGTCCTTGGGACAATATGCTCAAATTTTATTCCTTACTGCAATTGTTAACACAATAGATATAAAGATTATATTTCTCTGCAATGCTGATCTCTCTCACATATCTCTCGGCTTTGGCAGATATGTATATAAAAAATATCATATATCAGGATTGAAAGATTCCCATACCGACAGCATCCCTAGTTGCCACTACTGTTTGTAGCTATGAAATATAGATTTGTCCATTATTATAGATAAAAGGATGTTAAACAGTGTGGGAACCATACAGTCAAGTCTGTTTAAGATTATTGAAAGGATTAGTTAAACCACACTATCAGGGCTGAAAAGATTCATCGTTTTTATATTGTAATCACGGTTTGAAAGAGTCCAATTTCCAAATCACAAGAGCTGCAATTTCAAGCATAGTCTACAAGTCTTAAGTGGGGAGGTTTAACCTAATACCACACAGCTTGTGAACTGTTTGTAGATGAGTTAGACTAATCAGAGGCAACCAAACACCCGTGTGCTAGGACATCAGATCTTCAGTAAGCCAGAAAATGAGGAAATGTTCGTAATCTTGGCAAAAAAAGGCATGGACCTAAGTTTATAGTAAACAGTTGAACTTTAAGTCACAGTACGACTGGTCAGAAAAATCACTATTAGATATTTAGCCCAAATTGTTCAGTGCTACACATTAGTGATGTCAAATCCAATTAATTTTAATATTCAAATATCCATAAGAGTTCATAAACTGATATTCAGTTAACCACTGAGAAGGAAAAAGAATGCCTAAAAAAGAAAACAGCTTTGTGGAGATGTAGGGCTGAGGGCTCAGCTTTTTAGATGAGCTCTGGTGTTGCACAAAAATATATCAGCTTGCGGAGAAACGTTTTATTAATTAAAAACGGGTTATGAAAATCGGTTGGTTTTAATGTTGGATGATTAACTGAAGGTAACTCTTCAGGTAAGTTAATGAGCTAACAGTGTACAAGTGTCATGTTGGATGCTAATGACTCATTGTCTTTACCCAAGGTATATATTCTAAGTGTTGCTGGCCCTAGTTAACATCAGCAACAGTCAGTAGCTGCCTTGTTAGTGATGCTGCTTTGCTATCTTTACCTTCTCAGTCATATCCTTAACAACTCGTCCTTGGCAACATGTTCACGTTCAGGCACTTATTTTGGAGCTAAATTAGTCTCACAGCTCCAGGATTGAAGGTGTAAGCTTCGGACACCCAGACATGTCTTGGCTGATCAACTTCATTTAGGTTAAGGGAGAAAACTGTAAATGTAATTCTTTGAAGAGCTCTCCCTTGAAGCTCGGTTCTAGATTCATTTCAGTGCTCTTCCTGGAGTAAAGGAGGGCGATGATTTTGCTCCATGCTAGAATTGCACCATCATCACAGGGGAAGGCGACAGAGCGGCTCCCTAAGGATTCGCGCCAGTAAACATGCCTGTATTTACTTCAGTGTTTTCTTCAGCACGTTTTATTAGCTTGTGGCTTTTCCTCAGACTGGTAGAGAATAAGTTACCTAATCAAACAGTAAGCTCTAGCATATCCAGCTGTGGTCTTTAAGTTAAAGTTCCACTGATTTTTCACATTTTCACATAGTTCAATCATTGAGATGTGATTTATCGCTGCTAAAGCTTGTTAGGATGTTAGGATAGAAGTGAGTTCGCTGGCCAGTACAGTTACACCACTTACCTCGTCACTCACACTTGGTCACAGGAGAACAGATCGACGATCGCTCCACTCAAACAGGGAATATATAACTCCATGTTTCAGGTGTTGCTAAAGTGTATTTGGCAACTCATTTCAGTCCTCAAACCATGTCAAAAACTCGGAAGTGCGCCCTCTTGTGGCAGCAGAGTACTGTCGCTTTCTTTGCAGTAGAAAACACCACGGCTGTCGCTAGAAAATGGAAGTGTGAGAATGGTGTATTATATCGAAATTTATCGAACATTTCCTATAGTTCTGTCAAGGAAAGTTATATTGCAATAATTATTGTTATCAGTTTATCGCCCAGCACTTGTTTATATGCACTTGAGTAATCAGATCATGTAAAAACTCTGGGTCTACATGATTTAGGCAGTAATCAGATTTCTGCTTTGCAACCGGCCAATAAACTCACAGAAGAAGACGTGACGTAAACGTAATATAAAACTCAGACTTCATGCTGCGAGTTTTCGTTTTGAAAAACATCCCGCATACTTTACCTGAAAATATGACCATAGGTCATCTAGAAGATGAGAAATATTTAAATCCTTCATTTCGTGTTTGGTTTCAGCGTCGCTCCAAAAGTGTTTTGCTGCGTCTCGCGGCAACGCTGCTCACTTATTTTCTAGTACCGCAGTCTGTCCCGCACATGCTCAGACTGAGAAATCCGAAAGAAATCAGAGTAAGAGTTTACAAGTACTGAGCAAATATACAGGTCTCTTTATCAGATTTCTTAATCGGATTTCTAGATCGGAGTATAATGTTTACATGACCATTTGAATAATAGGATAACTGCAGAAATCCAGTTATGATTGGGTCATTGAGTGCATGTAAACACACTCATTGTCTGAGACCGTAGGCATCATATTTGTAAATACTTCCTGTAATTACTTTCTGTGAGGGAGCTTTTAGAGGCATTAAACACTTTGTACATCTTTTGCCATAAACCACTCTGAAGGTCTTTGTTTACACCTGCAGAAATTTTGAAAAATTGGTGAAATTCTGCTTTAAAACTTTTGCTTTCACTTTTACAAAAACAACTATTATTATCTCTCCTGGTGCCTTTTGCCCTGTTCCACCATGAGTTCTGTTATTTCCTGTCTCTGGGGGCTGGAGGGGGGGAGGGGTTGTTCTTGGAAATGTCCCAACATCCTTTTCCCCACAAAGCTTTTGTCTGAAACGTGGCTGCCACACCCAGACTGAACAATAACACATACTCAGCTTATATAAATACATCTAGTACATGCTTGAACAAGAGGAACGCTTGTTAGTTTGCTGTAAACCTCTTTTAAGATAGAAATGAATTAATTCATGAATCTCATGCAGTGAAACTGAGATGGATCTAGAGAGGAGAGTGGCTCTGTTACATAAACACGAATGCTCTTTGTCCCTGGCTGCTCAGAGTCCCTTAGAGATCGGGCCCTTTAATCTGCAGCCTCCGCTGTGGAACCGAGGAGCGTCTTCACTGTCGTAGTACACTTCATACAGCAGATTGTGCCGGTTCTAAGATCTGATGTGCCTGAACCTGATTATTTCTGTGTTAATGACCCAAATCATTAAAAAAAAAAAAACAACACCTGAAGAAAAGTATAAAAGTGCTTTAACTATACTTCAGATCAGTTGATGGAAATGTTGAGGTCAATGTCAGTGATCCTCCTAATCATTAAGACATGCTGTTCAGGTTATGCTTATAATAGATTATTAATAATTATATACGAAACACTATTGCTTATCACATTGTGTTGTCACTATATGTAATGCTTCACTTTGTGCCTAATGCCCCTTAACTGGGTAAAATGGCCTCTCGAGGTTTGTTGCCTTAATAATAACCACGATGACCGTCCCTCAGGATATCATATCAGCACAAAGCAGGACAAAAGCAGAAGCTAAGAGAATAAGCACATGATGTCCTTTTCTCAAAGAGGAAGTCAGCAGTAATACGGTTTGAGCCTGAGTGGACCAGCCTGCTGACCATTTCTGTCTGTTTGGCGGCTTACTCATCAGTGGTTTAATATGGTGAAATTGAATTGTACAGCAGCTCTTCCTGCATTGTAGGCGGTTCCACGACATAAACTAATATACACTGTCCCAGGCTTTATGCTCAGAACTAAAGCTTGAGTCTGGAAATTGTGGTCGAAGCTAACTGCAGCACATCAGTCTGTCAGGAAACGCCTCTTGAGATGTGCAATAAAGTTGTTATAAGTTGTTCAGACATCATGATGACCATGTAAGATGCTGATATCTAGGGGTGGATCATTATCGTGATATGAGAAACACGTTTTTCTGAGCGTATTGTGGATATTGTCAGTACTTAAAGAACAACTATGTGTTTTACTACTACATGAGCATAATTAGGCCTGTTGAATTAGATTTAGTGCGGTAGAGTTTGCAAAACATGATGCATATCGTGTATCATGAAAATGTCTTGCAGTATCGCATTATAATAGTTTTACCATCTCACCTACCCCTACTGATATCTAATTTTTAATGTATTGGATGTTGATGCAAATGCTGATACACACATTTATAAAATGTAAATCTAGTAGCCCAGTGTTGCCTGCTGAACAAAATAAATACATCATCATATCTGTTTGAAATATTGGTCAAATCTAAACTTCTGTCCAATACCTATATTATGTTTTCCTAGCAAATATCTGTTGATACCAATATGATTCCGATATTGTGCATCCATACAATAAACTGTAATTTTAGAAAATTATACAATTTTGGTGCAGATCTGGCTGCATGTGCAGTAAAACAGACCCTAAAAATGAATAGCATATTATGTATATTATCTGTAGTCTTTTTTTGGCCAGCCGCACTTTTCTACAGACTAGTAGTTAATGGTAACAGTGCTGTTCTCCTGTTTGTGTGTTCATATTGTGTGTCTTTACATTTCTGTGGTTCTGCTCTCGTTATGTTCCTTGTGCACACAAGTTTGTGTAGTGAAAGATTTCACTCTGGTGCTCTGCGAGGGTCTTACTTCATAGGTACAAAGTCAGGCCAGTTTTTCATTTTGGGAAGCAGTTGACCGTCATTTTACAGCCAACCGACAGATAGTATTGATTAGTATTTAAGATTATTTGGCAGTTAGAACTAAGATAACTGTACTGAAATATAAAAAAGAGAGCAATGTTTCATGAGCGGTGGAATTTTTGTATATTCGTATTTCTTTCTTCAATAGCTTTCGAACAGTTGATGACAAAAGGTCACAATAGCTTAGCAGCCGTCCACAAATGACATCGCTAGTGGCGATCTTCAGAGTCCTTGCGCAAAGTGTCATGATAGAACCTGTAGAACAAAGTCTCCCACATTTGATTACAAAATGACCATTTTGAGCTTTATATGATGAGGAACAGATTTTGAACAAATAAGCTAAAAATACCTAGAAAACAGTAAAATTTTGGACATGACTTGTATTTGTCAACTTTTTCACTTCCAGATTTGGCATGAATCTCAACTCTCTCAAATCTAGCCCATGGCAGTGTGTTTATTGTGAAAACTTGTGTTGATGAGCAAAATGCTTTACATTGTGCAGTCCTAGCACTGACTCTCTCTCTCTCTCTCTCCCTCTCTCTCTCTCTCTCTCTCTGTGCATGCAGGATGTGGAGGAGGTTCTTCGGGTCAGGCAGCAGTCTCGGGCCTGGTGCTGGTGCATGTGTCTGGGTCTGGCCCTCATGCTCTCTGGCGTGGTGGTTGGTGGAGCTTACCTGTACAGATATTACATCATGGAGGTGAGGGAGAATGCTCTGAACGCACACACACCCATACATGCAGACCTAAACCTTTCCTGGATATTTCTTTTAGGTGTTATACGTGGTGTAATTCAGCGATGCATATAGTCCTAACAATGTCAAGAAAACAAGTTTATTTGAGAATATTACCTTGAGCTCAATGGAATTCAGCTTCTGGACATTTTAGAGCCATAGAAGCTGTGGTGAGAATAAGGAGGATGATCTCAACCATTGACAGTCAAGAGTTGTACATTTTGTTTTGTTATACTATTTAAAATGTACTTATTTAATTTAGTTCATTACATCGTTATTACATACTGTATTACTTTACAGTTAGATTTGCATTGTTTGTTTTTTTTCACCATTTGTTTCAATGGCATGTAAAGACCTAAACATGGTAATAAAATAAAATATCTCTGACTGACAAACACAAACGTGTCATTAATTGAAAATTTAGAATCTGAATTTCAACAGGCATTTCTCCACTGCTTTTAACGCGCTAAGAGTGAGATATAATTAATACCAAATGACGCCATGATTTTGTTATTGTTGATGAGAAGTATGACAGAAGGGTAGGACATTTATTTCCACAGGATGTGGGCACAGCTGAGTTTGATGCTGTTACTCTTCAGGAGGAGAATACATACTTTTGTGGCGTGAACTATCACGAGGAACGCTACATGATGCGGGAGAGCGCAGAGGAGGAGACCCCGGAGCAGCTGGTGGGCATGCTGAAGCGTTTGGATGAGCGTGTCAGGATACTGCAGGAGGACAAAGTGGAGCTCATCAATGTTCCAGTGCCTGAGTTTAGTGACAATGACCCTGCTGACATCGTTCATGACTTCAACCGGGTGAGAACAAATAAATAAAAATATTATTATAATTAATTCCAACATTTCAGTATTGGTGCAGTCAAGTGGCCGCCTTCATCATTAATTAATTAATTACTTAGTTAAGTCACCTCCGCATTTAACCCATCTATACAGTGAAACACCACATACACCCTAGTCAGTGCACACACACTAGCGCAGTGAGCACAGTTGCCCGGAGCGGTGGGCAGCCCTGTCCGCAGCGCCCAGGGAGCAGTTGGGGGTTGGGTGCCTTGCTTAAGGACACGTCAGTCATGTGCTGTCGGCTCAGTGTAGTATTTTATTTCTTCAGCCAATCAGGACTAAGAAAACAACTGTAAAGTCTTCCTGAGGATTTGAAGCAGGTATTACTTTTTTGTCAGATGCTACTGCAGCTAAGATAATTGAAAGAAAGCTCTTTTTTTCTTGTTTGTTAGTTCATTAATTTTTACAGTTTAACAGTCTAACTTTTGCACAGTAACATAAACTTGCTAAATCAATGGTGAAATGAACTTGCTAAATCAGTTTAACAGTGAAATGAGCGATCATTAACATTAGCTAAAAGTCCGTTAGCTAAAGGTTTTAGAATGACCTTTATAATGATTGTTAATACTGAGTCTTGTAATCGTTTCTAATGATTCAGTAAAAGAAGATGCCAAATGATTTGAACTCTCACTCAGGATACTAGTGGATACATGAAGTCTATGACTTTGCTTTGTGTGTAAACGCACAAACATCCGACGCCCACCTGAACTGCATTATAAGCACACACACACAATCAGTGGCACACCCTCACTCTTCTTCCTTCCATCTTTTGTCCTGTCTCCCCATAGAGAATGACTGCCTATCTGGATCTGAATCTGAATAAGTGCTATGTCACCCCTCTCAATACCTCCATCGTCATGCCCCCCAAGGACTTCCTGGAGCTGCTCGTCAACATCAAGGTAACTGTGGCAGCAGAGAAAGTCAGGCCAAACGGAGTTCTGTTCTAATGAAGGGATCCAGGAGCAACATTCCAGAAACTTTCCATCTTTAGTCCTAAATTAAGATCTGACCAGCTCAAGATAAGATTTTTCACAAAATTGGAGTACAGAAGCAAATCCTATCTAAGAATCAAAGAAATATGTCCTTTCTTACCACATCTTATGTCAAGTTAGGATGTCCTAAACTACTCAGTCGAGGTTTAATACTCAAGTCATGTCTATTACGAAGCAAGAGTCTATACGCACATAAACACCTGATCGAAATAATCTCAACAAAATGCTGAACAGCTACTACTGCAGGAAAAAAACTAAAACAATTCCTGTGCAGTTAACTTATGAGTTTTAGCCATGATTTAAATAGTCAAGAATACTGTGACTGTGTCTCCCCCTGCTGTTTAATGGGGACGTCATTGCTCCTCAATGTGTTTTCGCCAGCCTGTACACTGTACCCTGTATTCACCACCATCGGTAACATATGAAGGTATTATATCTTCATCATATCTTCATCAGTATAATGTGGATTTTATGTTTGAGACCTAAACATTAAGTCAGACCACCTGACTTTTAAAATGTTATTTCAGGCTCTTTACAGGGCGAATCGGAGCAGCGCATGTACAAGATTTTAATAACTTAGGAATTCTGCTTCTTTCAGTTTTAACAAAAGCATCTTATGTAGTGCAGCTTTAACGGCCAGTTTTATACTATATACGGTGTAACAGTCAAAATGGAAGCTTTAGACAGAAGCTAGGACAAAGGATACACCAAACTTTTTTTTTTTAATGTCTGTTTCTGATTCCTACTTCTTTACGAATTGGCCAATGGCTGATTTTTATTAGCTTTTTTTTTCTTTAAATCTGAAACTCAAACTGGTAAATTAATACAATAAACTTGCAATATAAACACCATGATTTGCTCTTTAATGGGCCGAAATGGTATTTCAAATTTTGTCCATTGTAAATCAGTTTCGCCTATTTAAATAGGACAATTGAAATGAAGCTTTGAAGGTAAGAGGCATCTGGCTGTTTAGCACAATGGGTCATGCATAATTATGCTGTGACATTTTGATACAGGTGTAGCAGCAGCCTCCACTCACATTATTTACAGAATAAACTTGCAGCTCAGATCTACCAGAATAAAAACAATAAATTGGCCTAGTGCCAGTTTTGTGTTTTGAGCAAAAATCTGCTGATTGCAGTCTTGGCCTTGGATTAATCATTAGGACACCACTGGGTTATTGTAAAGTTAGTATTAAGATGCTTCTGTAGTGCTCTTGCTTTATTTGGAGTTAGGATGAGATCATAAAATGGAGTTATGGAATAACTGAAGTGTAGGGGAGGACCATGCCTGAAACCCCCTCTCCTTCCAGTGGAACACCCTATACATTTCTAGCGCTATCTTTTGTTTTTGCAATCCCCACCACCATCCCCTCTCCTCCCTGTCCAGCCCTATATCAGTCTGACCAGTTTTAAAAAGGGGCAGTGGGGGCAGTCTGGTCTTGAAACTTCAGGTTCAAGTTCTCTCTCCCCTCCCTTCCTCCTTCCCTCAGTCTTCCGTCATGCTACCATCATATGTTAAAGGCACAGTCCAAACTCGCAAACTGAAGATGTGTTGTTCTGTGAAAGATGCCTATTGAAGTGTAAAAATGTTTGTGCTATTGGTTTTGCCCTGTTGTTGTATCTGCCTTTGTGTTAACCAGACCAAATGTAACACTCTGTATGTAGGCTGGCACATACCTGCCACAGTCCTACCTGGTGCATGAGCAGATGGTTGTGACGGAGAAGGTTGAGCATGTGGAGCAGCTGGGCTACTTCATCTACAGCCTGTGTAGAGGCAGAGACACTTACAGATTACAGCGCAGGGAAGTTGTCCCAGGTGAGTAATCACACACTTAGACTCTTCCGCCCACACACACTGTACATGGACACCAACCTGGATGAAATCCACCTACACCTAAGTACTATTCAGACGAGGTTAGTTTTATTTGGGTGGGATAGGATGATGTCATATGTTGTCTGTGTTTCTCAGTAATTTTAGTGCCATCTGCAGCCACATCCGCTATGTCAGTTATCTTTATAGGCTGCGTGCTCTCGTCAGTGAAGATTCCAGCGCCTTTTCCTGCAATAAAACAAACCACGTGAAAAAGATTTGAGTCACTTACCTACATAAATGTGAACCATTGAGTCAGAAGGATTGGATCAGAGCAAAAAGTTTGAATTTGAGGCTTGTAGAGTGAATGTATGCATTAATTAATTAAAAACAGGTGTTAATTTATTGCTTAAGCTCTTTATTAACCTTTATTAACAGACGAGCAATTTCTGACAACTCTAGAAAATACATTCATAAGTGAAGCAGGACCCAAACAACTCTGACAACCTCCGACTACCTTCTTCCTTTTACTCTTCTAATGGATTACGAACAGTTCCAGGCTACTACCAGTGTTTTCCAGGTATTGGATGTTTGAGCTTGTTTCTTCCCGTCTGCTCTTCACAGGAATCCAGAAGCGCGAGGCCCTTGACTGCCACAAGATTCGCCATTTTGAGAACAAGTTTGTGGTGGAGACTCTGATCTGCGAGCAGTAGAGCGCAGAATCTCTGCTAGAAGCAACATGAACCACTTTAACCAATTCCAATTGAGTGCAGTGAGTTTCTGGGACCCCTTCCCACCCCCTTGTTCTCTTTCCTTTTAAAGCTCTTCCTGTTTCCCGTGTGTGGTGGTCTTGCTTTGTGTCCTTTTTACTGTACAGCAAAGATGATAGTGGAGAGTGAGAAAGGAGGGGACTAAAAGCCCCCATCATCCTGTAATAAACTAAGTTTAAGGCCCTTTCTCCATTTCCCTTTCAGAATCAACATCTCAATGTTTAGCTTATATTTGTGAAGATTTTTGTTGTTTTCATTCTTGATTAGTTTTACTTTGTTTGTAAACTTTCCTAAAGGTGGGATATGAGATTTAAAGCAAGTTCTCGTGAAAATGAGGAACGTTCAAAGTATACATTTGTACACGAGGCAATAAAAGAAACGCTGTTTTGTCTTTGCTTAAACTGTGAAGGTCTGTCACAGCCTAGTTCACCATATTATACACTGGAAGATTAGACAACATATGTAGGATATAGCCATTAAAGGAATATATACGAACACAAACAGAATAATTTTTGTATTAGATATACTTACTAGTCTAGAATGTTGAGGTTTTTTTAACTGGTTTATCAGCTAAAACTATTAATACAGTGCTAGAACGCAGGTAAATGAGTGTTGGACTTAGTGACAAACAGGGACATTTTTATCTAGGCTTAATCTGCTTTACGATGTCGGATATAAAAGGCAAGAGAATCTTTTTAATTTCAGAGCATTCGAATTTCATAGTGATTTGTGACAATGAAAAAATATTAAACGAGATTTCAGAATGTATAAGATGAAAATGTAAGGGTTTATATCTAAATTCTACCACAGATGTTGAACTCATTGTATAGACGATAAAATGTGTATAACATTATGTAACAAAACATTAAATGTACAAATGATTAACACAATAAAACTTGGACCACTGTTTTCTTTGTTCTTTTTCTGTTCTTCACACAGAGAATCTTCACCTAAGGTATCATTTTGGTATTTTCTATTTCTTTGGCCTGGAATTACTGCTGAGGTCTTTGCCTGTGCTGAACTGTAGTCACCTCCTAGTTTATAGTTACAGTCAATGGGCCTAATTTATCAGCCATTGTTAATAAGATTTTTTTTTTTTTTTCATGAAACCCACTTCAGCAGTTTTCACAAAGATTCTAACATTTACCAACGTTTTCTTAGTTGGAATTTGTTCTTGGGTAAGAACAGAATCTACACACTCAGGAGCACAAACATGCCAACAATTCTTTGGATTAAGAACACGTCATAATTCTGACGTAGACGTTTTCTCGGGAACTTTTCTACAGAACAAATTTATGAACTCTTAGGAAGGTATTGGTGAATGAGGCCCACTGTCTAGATATTACGAAAGGTTTTACTAGCGAAATCAAATTGAACCTGTTGACTTCTGGTCACCAGTTTCTCAAACAGCTTGTGTGTAATGGGCATTACCATTGCTTTAAAAAAAAAAAATTAATAAAAAAAAAGTTCAACAGCTCAACCTGGTCCTGGAGGCCCACCTGCTTTAACAAGCCCTTCTTCAGCCAACCCACAAACCAGCAGCTAGACTATTTTATTTTATTTACCAGAACTAAAACTATGTTACCTAAACGTGAAAAAGACAGGCAAGTTTCATTTTTACACATTTGGAATAATTTCTTTAATAATCTTTCAAATGGTGGGCAAAAAAGGTTCATATGAAAGTGACTGTTAGTAACCAACACAGATTTCGTCTAATTTTGATCTGAAACACATTGGTTTCTGTGGATTGTAACCGATATGAGAGCTAAACGACTGTGCAAATTACAGCGCAAGTAGCGATCACTGGGGGTCCAAGCACTATGCGCCAGAGTGGAGCCCGTAGAACACAAATGATGGGCAAAGTTTTTAGAATGGCCTTGATGTGGCGTCTCAAGACCTCTGCAAATTTTATACACATGGGCCTTTTGACCTTACGGTAAGCAACAAATATTTCAACAAAAAAAGCCTAAATACCTAAAGTTTTCAAGTCTCAACAATGCACTGTGACATTACAGTGCAGTATGTAGACAGTGTGCATCACGGTCAAAGCATCTACTGCAGCTGTACTGTTCGAACACGATCGTTTGCAAACAATCAGCAACTCACTCCAGCACTCCTGCCTCTCAGATATAGAGTTGTTACTAAGCTATGCAACAACATGACTGTAGTCATTATTTTTCATTTTAATATTGTTTAAAATACTGTGAAAAAACAATCATGAACCCAGTTATAAATCCAAATGTGGGTTTAGTGTATGGTCACATTCCTAATAATTGTGGCACGTAAGACACCACATTTAGAGGGTTTTGATCACAGAAGGCTTTGTCTTCTGAGTTGTTGAACAGAGATTCTCATACGCAAAGAACTTGAGTATACAGACTAGATAAATCCAGTTTATTCTCCATCAGCAGGAAAAAAAAAAAAACAAAAACACAGAAATGATCAACATGCAAGACTCACACACTGCCACAGACCCTCCATCGAAAATAAAAAGAAATTTGCACAGACGAGCAAGTCAGTCACCAATAATCCACAAACAATTTCACACCATTCTCTCTCTCACGTACACATCCTCACATACAGACTAACATATAGACATCAATGTACCTCATAGAAAAGAAAAAAAAAACGTCTGTGCTGTTGGCACAGTTCTGAATGAGTGGAATGAACCACATCGGTGTGAGAATGTTCAGAAGTTTGGGCTGGTTTTTATTTGTCTTCTTTACTCACACATTAACCTTCCCAACCTTTAAGTATCTCTTTCCAGGCCTTTGTATCATTTCTACTTGTGCTTTCAAGCCTCTGCGAGTGAACGCAGACAACTTTCTAACTGTGCCTTCATTATTGCAGATAAAGTGGGTGTTCTCTTGTTCTTATGTCAGTCATATACACCAACGCATTACCATTATCTTAAAAATCAATATATAACATACATATAGTGTATTTCTTGAGTTGGTCAAAACGATAAAGAAAAAATTCCACCACTTCTGTTTTTATCTGACGAACACAAACGACGGTGGCGAGAATCTTAGAGAGTCTTCTTCATAAACTTTTCTGACTATCTATGAACACTTCTTTTATGGCACAAGCTTAAATTTCAATAGTGTTATCATACATACAAAGAATATAGATCATTGCAAAACTCAGCAATAAAAACTCTGATGGAAAAGTACGTAACGTAAAGGAATGACGGAAAAATTAAGAATCTTAAGGTTGTATTCGGTCACGTTGTCACTCCACGGTCCACACCTAAATGCATCTGAATCCTTTGGTATAGCCTAAAGACTTCAAACTGATCCCGTACAGATCTCTTTATATAGAGAAAACAAAATCACCAGAAAAGAAAACGAACCACTTCTAAAAAGCACAACTTACCATTTATCTGTAGTGTTAAGGTCCACAAAACTGAACAAAAAGCCTATCGTTTCTTGCCTGTAGAGTAGCCATTTGGCCAAAATGAGGACGCATCACCCTCTCTGCCCTTCAGCAGTCAAGCGCTGTGCCCTGCTTTTCTGTTGGAGTGGAGATGAAGGTGGCAGAAGCTGGCTGTCCTTTCTACTTCATTAGATTCCCACCATTCTTCCAGAGTGCAGGCGGTTCTCTGGAAAAAGGCGAGTTAGGGGGCATTATGGGGTCACCACAGGTCAGCATTTAGTGTTATACTATGAGATTAAAATTAAGACATGAGATGGTCCTTATATATCTTTAAGTCTATATCTTACAGCTTTCAACCACTCCCAATGTACAACACTGCACATCTTTCACATCAGAGAACACCATTCATTTGCTGGGATAAAACCAAGTTTAAAGGAACTGTCCTTCACTGATCAAATATACAGTGTATTACACTCTGTCCTCTCCTCCGCACATTCCTGCTCAGGACTTCTTTCATCCATCCATTTGTAACTTTTCTCCATCAAAATGTTGCCTGTTTGTGAAAAGGTGTATGTATCTCACGTGCAAGTCAGTATATGTTCTGCAGTCTGTGTGTGTGTAGTGTGTTTGCGTGTAGTGTGTCTGTACGGGTGTATGAAGGAAGATTTCTGGATGTGAGAGGAATAGCACCCCCTGCTGGCTCAGTCGGCATAGTGCATGATTGATTCGACGTAGTTTCCAGGGAAGAGACCCGTAGTGCCGTTCATCACCCCCTCGAACCAGCCGTCATCGTTCTTCTTGATCACGTAAATGATCGCCCCCTCCTGGAAGGACAGCTCGTCTTCCTTGTCACGTGTGTAATCGTAGATCGCCACCACTGCCAGAAAAAAGAGAACGAAATTTAGAGGCCCTGTTCAGACCTGCTTATAACATCTGTCATAATTGATATGATCACAAGAGGACAGTGAAATGTACAGCTGTTAAGGCCAGGCATTTCCATGCATCTTGAATGCGTCTCCACTCAGCACATCAACACGAGATTTGATTTCGAAACAGGAAGAAGGATAGTGCATACATTTACTATAGCGTAACAAAGTAAAAGTTTGGGCTGGTCAAATGACATGGTTTGTTGATTATCTAAGTGAAAATAATCCCCTACAGACAACAAAGTCCTGGATGTTTTAATGCTTCATTGATGTTTATTTACTGAATTTAACAAAAGATATATATCCCTTCATTCAGTTTCCAGTCAAAACAGCTATTAAGTACAAGTTGTTCAGTTTTCAAGAGATATTTCTGAGGAGATTAGACATAAGATAAGCTATTTGCCTAGGAAAAGAGAAAGTAAAAAGACAGGAGTTCCCAAAACTGGAGATCAAAAACTGATTAAAAGAGAAAATTGGACTCCTAACAAGAAGACCAAAACTGTCCTCATTAGATAATAAATACTTCATCTTTGAGAGAGAGGAGAAAATCAAGCTCCACTCTTATGTCAGATCTAAAAAGAAACAGGTGTTTCCATCCATCCTTCCACTGTGAGAAGACAACAAGATGTGTTGCTGTTAAGAAGCTGTAACTGGGAAAAATAAATAAAAAGAAAAATGCAAAATGACAGTCCAGAAGTAGAAAATGCAACCAACTTCTAAGACTGAACTTTGGAGGTATGGAAAAATAACTCAAAGCAAGTCTCCCGAAAAGAACTGAAGCTATATTAAAGGCAAAAAGTGGACACACTAAAACATGAAAAATCTCATTCAATTTTAGTTATTAAAGCTTCTGTGTAATTTTCTGTTAAACATGAATGAACAACTTGTACTTAATAGCCGTTGTAATAAGTCAAGGCTTGTCTTTCTGACTTCCACACAATACTGTATGTTTACTAGGAGTGAAAGGGGTGAAAATCTACTGTCTTGGTTTAAGCAAGTGCTTTTTTGTGATTGATGACAAGTAAATAGAGCAAGAGAGAAACTAAGAAGTCAGTGTGGAACCTTTTTCCATGTAGTTGCGTGGGGCCCACGGTGGATCCTCCTCAGCATAGGGGTCACTGTACTCCACCACCGCTGACTCTTCATCTTCTTCACCTTCCTCATCCTCGTAGTCCTCTGGCGGAGGTGGGGGTGGGGCTGTGTCCACAAACTCCGCCTCTTCTGTAGGGGGTGGGGGAGGAGGTGCATCTGAGACTGGGATGAAGAGAATGCACAGGTGAGCTAATCAATACACGCACTGATTGACATGATCTGTTTAGGATGTGCTTTTATTCACGTTAGCACATTCAGAGCAGATCAGCCTTTCTCCTTTAGTTTACTATGCTGTCCATTTCATATGGGGTGAAGCAGAGAAAGAAAAGACTGTAATTAACATGCACAAAACCCTGACTGTGCAAAACCTGAGGCAGAATGCAAGCAACATGCAAGTAATGTATCTAGAATACACATGCATTCAGACACAGGCTAATACACAGCAGGTTTTCCCTTGGAAGAGTGGTAGTTAGTGTGCAGTGTGTTGTGTGTGGGAGGTGGCTGAGAAGACCAGGTATCGTCCCAATGGCAAGGCCAGATATTAATCTTAACTATAGATTAAAATGAGATACATAAGAACCACTGAGGGATCCCGCATGCAAACAGATACATACAGTTTAAACTGCTGACTTACTGGTCTCCTGAACACGAGCCACAAAGCCCATCAGAGGGAGCTGAGGTGTGATCTGTAATATTGAAGGGGGAGGAGGGGCCATGGGGGCTAAAAGGCACAAAAGGGAGTGGGGGAAAAACAGCAAAATATGGTGGAAGGAGGAGTATGGATGGAGAGAGAGAGAAGGAAAAAAAAAAATCAGTGTCATTTCTTTGACTGTGGGTCCCAGGAAGAGAGACTGCTCAGTATTACGTCCATTAGAAATGGCCAGATGTGACGTGGCACACACGTTAATCTGGAACCACTCCGCGACGCTTGTCATTTCATACCGGATGAGACAAACGGCTGCAGTATGTTTTTTCACATGATATAAACATCTGTATTGTTCGTTTGTTACTTGTACAAACTTATGTAGATGACAAAGAGATCAACGATAAAATCTTGACTAGCTGCCTTGACTGTTGCTGGCTTTCTTACCAGGTGATGTAGCTCTACATGAAGAGGAGATGACTGTGTTCACAACATTTACCTACTCAAGGGATTTCAGTCAACCTGTCAGAGTTAAAACTAGATTTGTTTATTAGCCTAGATTGTATATTATAGCATATACACTGCATATCTGTACTGTCTCAGCATAGAAACTACTGGCATGCTGTGTGCGGCACGCGTCAGAAATAGACCCAAAGCATATTTTTGCGCTTCACGCATGTGTTACTGCCGCGATGGCCGCGACACACGGCCGGTGTGAAAGTCAACGTTGATCAATATAGGAGCGTTTTGCGCGCGGCACTGCGCAGCGTGTCATGTGGGGCGGTTACTGCATGTGGTATGAAACGGGCTTTAGAACCGCAGAGCGCTGAAGCCTACCTTGGTTTTGGTTGTAGTGTGGTCCCCCGTTAAGCTGGTTCTGGCTCAGGTTTGGGTGAGTGTTCTGAGGTGCGTTATTCGGCTGATTGGTGACTGAGGAAGGCCTGCGATAGGGCAGAGACCCTCCTACTGAGGGTGTGGTCTGTCGCGTCATTGGTCGGTTCATACTGTAGAACTGAGGACCATTTCCTGGAAGACAGCACATAAAAACAATCAAACACACTGAATCACACTGGAAAAACATGCCCAATAATCTTAAAACAGAAAATGAATGCAAAACAAAAAACATAAACTAAACACATGCAACAGTGCATGTAGAGAGGGAAGGGGGCAATACAGCCAAATATGACGCAGCCCCTCACAACTGATTTACCTAAAATGGCAGATGTGAATACACACGGGGAAAAAAAAACAAAACACCACAAAAAAGCAGACAAGAAACAGACTTTTGCTGCCTACATGTGCTCTCGGAATTAAATTTAAGTTCTCAACCTAAGAATTTTTTAATACGCAAGTTTCTGATTTATTACTGACCTTTAGCCTTTCATCATGACGGAGGAAAGGAAGGTTTTAGTGAATGATGGTGTGTAATTCTTTATTTTCTAACACTTACAACTTACTTTTCCAATTCACCAATTACGCTACAGACATCTGCTTGTATCTGTTTGATGGGGAAAATGTTTGAAGACACCAAAAAGTGATCAGAATATCTACCTAGTTTATGTTAGTGATGCACTTACCGAACAGCAGGGTTAGGAGTCAATCCTATATTTTTCTTTGTAACAAAAAAAGTGGCTTATAATGAACTTTGTCGGTGCTAAAATATCTACCTTCTGAAGCTGATAGAGGAAAACTAGGTACAGCCCTGATAGTCAGCTAATTTTAATGGGAATTTCATTTATTTCTTTTTTTTCCTGCATAATTGAATCATTGAGAAGTAAACAGTCGTTCAGTGTGGTTTGATGTGAAATGGTTTATTGTAAAGAACACAACTCAGATTTCTTTACAGTGGTGGTGACAGGAACCAGGGGCCCACAGTGTCCACAATACAAATATAGCCGTTTTATTTTCTGTCAAAAACCACCAGTGAGCCTCCACGCTTTCTGAGCTTAATGATACGTTATTAAGTGTTAAAACATGGGTAAACCAGAAAAAAGTTTTCTCTGAGAACTATTTTGCCTTGGAACACCCTGCATGCACCCGTCCACCATAAAGTGTATTGACAACCATTCGGTTTAATAAATGTTTGTGGGGAAGTTTTTAGAGGCATGAAACGTTCTGGATGTCTGGTTTCCATCAACTACACTGTGAACAATTCTTACCTGGAAGGTTTCTCTAATATGGAGCTTTTCACATCAAACCATTTCAAATGACTGTTTATATCTTAACCATTAAATTATGCAGATTTTTGTCTCTAATTTCGTTAATGTTAGCTCTTGGAACTGCCTTGGTAAGGTCAAATAAGTCTTATAGTCAATATGATAAACTGATCTTGTGTTCCTGAAAAACATTTGAGGTGACAGCATTAGAAGTTAATCTGTCAAGATCCCTTGTTATATTCATACTATTATAGTATTTTATGTACTTAATATTGTACTTTTCCATGTTGCCAGATCTCCTTACCTATGCTTTGATTTTTGGAATATTTCATGGAATCGAACAGGCCTACCCAATAGCAAATCCTGCATATTTCCGACAACAAAGCACTTGAATGCAAAGACATGGTAATTACAACTTTACAAACAGAAAACAGGACTTTCCGATGACCACATGAAAGCAGCATTATAAAGTACAAGATAAACGAGGAAAAGGGCACAAAAGATCCAAAGGAAGTGCAAGCGAGATGAACCCGAAGCCACGCAACCAGCCAGCCGAGCCATGACGGAGGTGTGAATATGGTGATGCAGATCATGTGGGTGGACATGAACAATCTGACTCAAATGCTGAAATGAGGATGGGGACCGTGGCATGAGACTGAGTGGGGGAGGTGACTGGGGCGCAGTGACTTTGGGGGTGGGGTGGGGGGACAACTCACCTTGTGCAGGGGTGCTGGTAGCAGCTGCAGTGCTTGTGGTGGAATTAACAGGCAAGGTGGGGGGCAGTTGTGGGGGAGGGGGGACTTCAGGGGGGGCCTCTGCAGGGGCCACGGGGGCAGGAGGGACAGGGGGTGCAGGCTCAGGGGTGGGGGGAGGAGGCGGTGCTGGGGGAGTTGGGAGGCTGGGAGGGAGCTTGGGGGGATTCGGGGGGGCAGGGGCTGTACCTGCTGCAGCACGGGTCGCAAAACGAGGGAAAGAGAGAGCAGAAGAAGAGAGGAGGAAAGAGGAGAGACGGTTTAAACATATGTATGACAGCATAATGGAAGGAAATTAGAAAGGTGAGGAATAGAGAGTTACAGACGTGGGTAACTTTCACTAACAGAGGAAATCTGTGAGTAAATTATAACAGATCACACAGAGATTAGTAGAACAGGGACTTCGCAAACAGGGACAAATAAAGAAGGATTTCCAGGCAATAATCTGATCAACTTCTAAAAAAGGTACAGTACTGTGCAAAAGTCAGAGACCACCCTTCATTTATTTAATCTGTAGTGAAAAACGCCATTATGTTATTCATTTTTCAGCCTCAAAACATTTAACAGAAAACTACACAAAAGCCTCAACGACTAATTATATTATGATTTTTCTCAATATTTACTTCACTTCCATTCTTTTCGGGAGTCTTGCTTTCAGTTTTTCAAAGGAATCTACAGGGATTTTTTTCCACACCTTCAAAGTTCAGTCTTGGAAGTTGGTTGTATGTTTTGTATTTTTCCAAGTAATCCCAAGCACATTCAATGACGCTGAGGTCTGGACTCAAGAGCGGCCAGTTCAGTGTTTTAAAAACTCCAGTAGCTCCTTTATGTGATTTGCTCATTTTTTCTTTTTTGTCCGTTTCCTTTTCTCAGTGAGGTTCTTCTTGACAGCTACACACCCTTTCAGACTCATAGCACTGAGTTGTCTTTTCACAGTGAAAGGATGGACAGAGACACCTGTGGATTTAATCTCCTCAGAAATATCTGATCTCTGAGATGAATGAAGAGTGGTCTCTGACTTTTGCACAGTAATGTAGTTCAGCAACAATCTAATTTCCACAACTTAATCCAAATGCAGTCATTTAGCTGACACATCTAGTGTTCGAAGTTGGCTTCTTTAGTTTTGTAGGTAAGGCTTACCCCCCACTAATTAGCATCATACAAATTGCATGTGTCGTGTTAAGCAATCTCAAATAATGAACAAAAATCCAGATTAAATTCAGGCTTCAAGATTTCAACTTTTCTTTTAGCTGTGTGATGAACTTCTGTCGATGTTTATAAATAACAGTAGGTCACCTGGTGTCTATTTGATATTACACTGGAGGTTGTGAAAATTGTGAGATCAGTGAGCACAAGGAGGTATAGTTATTACCTGGGAAAGCGGAGGGTGGGGCAGGGGTTGGCACGGCGATGGGCACACCGACACTCCCACTGCCGCTGTTCTCTCTGCTGCTGCTCCGACTGCTGGGGTGACTGCCTCCACTGCTGCCACTGCTAACAGACAGAGGGGAGGAAGAGAAAGGAAGGAATCACACAGCCATTTGAAATCCCACCGCTAACCAGATGCTGATTTACTTGCATTTCTATGCAAGTGAAAGAAACAAAGACTAGGCTTGGATTAAATTAAAAATTCTTTTTGATGTTTCACCAGTGCCAGGAAGCTAATTAGTAAATGTTATTCAGTCCAGAGCGAGTGGCTAAAATATTTTACAATATTACACATTTAAAACAGTGCAGGCCTCGTCAACAGCTACGCTTCCATCCAAATTTGCGATTTCAAAATGCGATTTCAGCCACCCAGCATGTTTCCATCAAACTCACTTTTCACATAAAGTAAAAATGCTTTATGTAATGTCATTTACAAAAAATCTTCTGTTCCATGAGTTTTTTTTTGATAACATGTTTCTATCTGTAACTTTATATCACAACTTGCGTACCTTTAGCTTCCATAATTTCCTCATAACTTACTGATAAGAACATTTTTAACATGTATTATTTTTTTTTTTTTCCATCTGAACTATTGCATGAGAGATCATGTTTCCGTGCCACATAGAGCTGTTGAGCACTTTCCATTTAGAAAGGCTGTGGTCTTTTCTGAACATCTCTCTCTGTAAGAGCTGAAAAGTGGAAACATTCCTTTTAAAAACTTCTCATCTCCTGCTCAGTCCTGGGGTCTCAGTTACAGGGTTACAGTTTAACATCCTAACAGCACTGATGGCAGTAATAAACATGATTTCATGTTTAGCTGGCTAACTATAATCTTAGTTCCATCTACCCTGGATTTTCTGTCTCAAGACAGTGAATCTGTTTTCACCACCGCAGTGGCATTTGAGACAGCATTGCTTATTTACAGTTATAAATACTTTTCTCAAAATAAAAAAAAAAGAAACAAAGACAGGAAAAAAGAAAAGTAAGTTTTCACAGCATTTGGGTATTGCTAAACAATTTTTAAGAGAAAAAGTCTTTGGATGTAAACTTAGCTACTGTAGCAACATGCTGACAAAACATGAAAAGCTGAGGAGCGTGTGCTTTGTGACATCCTGATTATCAGGCTGCTCTCGCTGTTCCTTTCAGTTTGATCCCCTGAGAGACTCCGAATAAAAGCTGGCTGTTCGGCTCAGGATGCAAAACAGCAAAGAGATGAAGGAGAAAAAGAAGACTTTCAGAAAAAAGACTGAAATAGTAACGGAGAGAAAAAGAGAGATCCAAGAAAGAGCGTTAGAAAGAGGGAGAGAGAGAGAGAGAGAGAGAGAGATAGTGAGAGAGAGAGAGAGAGAGAGAGAGAAAAAGAGAGCAAGCAAGTGAGAGAGTGCGAGCGAGAGAGAGAGAGAGAGAGCAAGAGAGAGCGAGATCTTCTTAGAGGATGCTATGGCTATTTGAACTTAGATGAAAAGCTCCGAGGATGAAAGAGCAGAAGCCAAAGAGAGAAGGAAAGAGGAAGTTAGTGAGTGGTTGTTATTTTTGCCGAGACACACCGACAGAGACAAAAAGACATAAGACAGACGGCTTACAAACACACAGAGCTCCAGAGAGAGCAACAGGTGAAGAGACAGACTGAAAAGAGGGATGGGGGAAGAGGAAGATGGTGTGGAAGGAAGGGACCGCGTCTCCTGCTTTCAGTAGTCAGAGAGGAGAAAATGATCTCAGAAGAGCCTCAAAATGCAAATGGCTGTAAAATGCATGTGTTTCATGCGAGTGTGAGCCTGGATGTCTGTGCAGGTGTGTTTATCGTGTGTACTGTGTTTATTACGTGCGTGTGAGTGTGTGGGTGGGTGTTTGTGTGGGTACCTGTACGTGCGGGTCCTCTGATTAACGGAGGCGGTGCGTGCCGGGCTCTGGAGGGGCGGGGCCGTGTTGCGGGTCGGGCTCGGCACATAGTCGTTAGGGACGACAGGGGGACGCACGGGCTCGAGCGTCCGGTAGGGGGAGTGGCGCCTGCCAAGGGGGCAGGGTTACAGTTTAACATCCTAACGGCACTGATGGCAGTAATACTGGCCCCCCAATTACACACTAGGACACTGGCACACGCCTACTTCAGTTCAACACTGTGGCTGTGTCCCATTGTATACTGACCACTAACAATAATGCTAACTGGTTATAAAGTAGAGCTGAACAATATGACAATATTTATTAATATCGTGATAAAAGTGTGTATATCATGGATACTCTCAGTACTTAAAGAACACTAAAAAAACTCCATATTTCATCACAAAGCACAGCACAATTAATCCTGTTTAATTGGAATTAGTGTTGTGCAGATTGTGAAATACCAAATATAATTATTTTTTATTCAGTTTTTGATGTCTTATTTAAATCTGCAATTATTGTGTCTTTTTTTGGCTGTTCCAACTTAGCCATAAATTTTGTGAATTCTGTCATGTATCATGAAAATTATATCCATTTTGCCACCCATAATATATTGTATATAATATATGCACCTAAGTGCCTTAGTTAAAAACACTCAAAAGCATTGACCCTACTGTAGGGCCCTCTGTGTTTCCCCCTTTTATTGTTTTCTTTCTTTCTTTCTTTCTTTCTTTAAAAAATATGCAGTATGGCCCCCACTGTTAACTGACATAAGAAAAGTTTAATCGACCACAGGAACAATACAGAGGAAGCTTTACTGATGTACCTTGCACACTGTGATATAGTGGTGGGTGACATGAAAATAGTATCAGGATACATAAAGAATACTGTCAAAAACTGTGAGAACAAATGATCTTTTTTTTCAACCCTCACACATTATCCTAGTTAAGCAGAACTAATTATGCTCTTTGTAATGCAACTGGTCAGTGTTCCAGAAGTACGGAAAATATCCATGATATACTCAGAAAAGCATATTGTGACAAAATCTACCATGATAAAGATAAATATTGTCACACTGGCCACTGTGATGTATACAAACATAAACGGATTTCTGTGAAGAACAGTGTTCACTAAAAGAACAACAGATGTGAACATATCTGGATAAGATACACATAACATTTAATATGTTTAAAAATGTTCCCAAAATCTCTAAATTCCACTACGTGTTTCTGAATTTATTTCTTTAATACCTCAATTCCACAATTCTGTCCATGTTCTCCACCTTGTGGAAATCATAGGGAACTACTACTGTCCCACAATGCAACACGAGGCAGAAAGGGAGGCACTACTAATGGGATAAAAGATTTTGGAAGATGCTGAGTAAGCTAGCCAGCTAACAATATTAAGGTGAAATCTACAAGTAAAATTAGAAAACAGTACAGAACTCCTCTATGGGAGTGTTTTTTGTGACTCAAAGAAAAAAAAAAAACAACAAAAACCAGAAATAAATTGCAGATCTGTGAAATTTGTTGTTTAAATTCAGTTGCCTAGAAGGTCACAGCTTGGCCTTAATGACATACAATGAAATAAGAATAGTACAAAAAGCAGCATGTTCAATTTGGGAAATTATAATCTGTCAACATTTTAATCTTATAACATTAGTGTTTAGTGTACAACTGGGACACGACTAGAAATGACTCAAACACATACTTTGACTATTTATGTCATATCAATTTTGGCCACAGTCTTGAGTTTACTCTAATGTGGCTCTTCATAAAAGACCAAACTTGGGGAAACTTAGTTCAACAGTGCTTGGTGTTGGTGACTGACAGCTGTGTTACCATGGTGACAGTGTGAGGGCAGGTGTAAGGGCATGAGGAGGGGTCACACAGTAAAGGGAGAACAACAGAAACAAACAACGGCATTAAAAACACAAGCACACAAAATCGACACTTCGACGACAGAGGTTACAAGTTCTATTCCACAGAGTCCTGCCCAGGGAGAGAAAAGCACACACATTCAGAGACAAGAGCACATATCCACACTGCCCTGTCGAAACGAGTCCTCAGGTTCAAAATTAAAACAGAGCAAGACAGAATAAGCTTGGCAAGAGAGGCAGAGAGAACACAGGTAAGCACAGGAGTATTTATGTTAGGTTAAGGGCTCCAAAAAAGGTGTTTTTTGATGAAAAGCAGACAAAAGAGATAGTCTGGCCTTGCCTAAACTGAAATGGATCTGCACTCACTACAGTGATCCAAACCAAGCACTCATACATATATGTATATATATATATATATATATATATATATATATATATATACATACATACACACACACATACCCAATAGTGCCCTTCCCTGGGCCTGGAGGGCTGGGAGGTTTCTGGGTCGGGGCAGTTGTGCGTGGGGTCGTACCCGCCTTCATGTTCTGCGCATTAACCTGCAGAGATGAAAATGACCAAACGTCAGTTCTACTAATCTTATTCATAAAGATACAACACAAAGAAAAGCCTAAACTAAGGCTTACCTTGAACCTTAATAACCACTACACTCAGTTATGAAGCAAACAAGAGGCAAAGAGAGAAAACAGACTGTTAGTGTGCAGAAGTTCAAAAGAGCAGGCAAGCACACACAGTGAGTAAGTAACGCAGCAGAAAGCAACAGAAACGAACTGATTAGAGCCTGAAAAAGAACAATACAACTCTGTGACGTATTTGTTACTGTTACTTTAATGTGCAGATATGCATATGAGTCGGTCTATAAACACAAAAGCGCTACCTTCACTCCGTGGCCGACATCATCCAGCAGGCTGTAGTCGATAGGTTTGCGTATGTAGCGCACAGGCCTCTCGGGATTGGCTGGCGCGATGATCTTGTGCGTGCGAGAGGTGTTCTTATTGGTGGTGAGGATGCCGATCTCACGCCTGGCCACCTTCTCTTTGTGGATGTCCACCGTCTAAAGTGAATGAACCATCTCACATCAAAATATTGACTGTTTACATCTCAATAATTAAATTATGCAAACAATTGTGAAAAAAACTGGTGGAACACCCCTTTAATTTTAATGTATGTTAATGTTACATTTTTATTTCAAGTAATCTCTGTTAGCTTTTCATTATGAAACAGAAATAGTAAAAAAAAATAAAATAAAGACAAAATAATATATAAAATAAAACTAAATGGATAATAAAATGTTTGTCATGACAGCCACAATATGCAAAATGCCAAAAAATAACTGTGTACTTTGTGGCTATGTTTACACTCCAGGCTGAAGTGGCTCAAATCTTACCTGTTTTTACTCTTTCTTTCAATGTGAACAGTAAAAAACACACTAAATCTGACTGTTTCAATTCCAATTTAACAACAACCACCTAAAAATGAATCAGAATTGGGCCATTTTTACCTGCAGTCTAAATGTAGCCCTGGTTACTTGTGCCCTTGTGTGTATACCTGTGAGATGTGGTTGATGGAGGACTCCATACGGCGTAGCTGAGACGCCTGAATGTCCAGCATCTGCAGCACATTGTTGGCTAGTGTGTTGATCAGGTAGGCGACGCTGGCCAGAGACTGAGTGGTGTAGCTTTTGGTCTCCTCTAAGGCTCTCTGCTTATCTGGAGACTGAAATCATAAGAAGAGAAAATAAACAGAGAGAGAAATAAACAAACACTGACATTAGTCAGTATATGACGACAGTTGTTCACCAGGAGGCTGAGAACCTAAATCCTGTGCATCTGTGTTTCTGTGCTTATTTGATAGGCTGGGAATAAATATCCAACTAGAGCCTGAAACGTGTTCTTTCTGCTCTCCTAAACAAGAGGTCTAACTTTAGCTACCTTTCAAATAGTCTGTCTCGAACACAGAGAATTCCACCATAACAGAAACAGCAACTGAAAGAAAGAGGTGAAAAAACACATCATAAACAGCTTCGCGCCCTCCTTCCTCTCGTCCACACACTCACTCATTCATGACTAATCTCCTCGACGCACGAGAGGCACAGCATTAACCAATCACAGTGGTGGCAGCCATCATTAAAACCACCTCAGGGTGCGCTCTACTGGACGGCTATACCATCAATCATCCATAGGCAGCGTAACCATGGCAACGCTGTCAAGATTCAACAATAAATGGGACTCCAAAAAAACAAGAGGAAGGGACAGAGGGAGGGTGTGAATGTGTGTGTGTGAGTGAGTAAATGTGACAGTATGTGTGTGAAGTACTGCTTTAAAAACAGCCAGGTGAATAATTTACATTTAATGTTTTCAAATGTAGGGATTTGAAAACAATCTCTTTTAAAATAAGACACATTTTTTTATCTATGCTCCATACAGTGCTTTCTAAATATAATGCATTAACAGGGCTGGGCAATATAATACTTAGTGTTAGTGTCATAAATTACAACACAATATGTGACTATAAGCTTTTCTGAGTATATCAGACACTGTCAGTACTTACAAACACTTCCCAACTGCATGTTTGATCATAAAGAAAGCATCATTATATCTGTTTAATTGGATTGATGGCACTACTTTATCTGTCTATTAAAAATAGACATTAGCCTGTATATTTGAAAATGGAGCACATTTATAATAGGCAGAAACAGCCATCTGAGAAAGATCATTAAATGTTGTTCTTCATGCCTCATACTTTACTATAACAACCTTAAATACAGCATAAATAGCCTTGGGCTGATCACTGATCATTTAAATTCAAATTATAATTATACTGTTTTCTGTTCTACTTAACCATCATATGCACAATCATTCTGATCTACTGCAAGTTTAAAACTGTATACAATCGAAAAGAAAGCACTTATTCATTATACAATTAAATTACCAACAAATTAATGGGGAATTATACAGATTTCTCTATAATTTCTGTGTAATTAAATCGTTAGGATGCAAACAGAGTCATTCAAAGCAGTTTGATGTGAAATGCTCTGTTCCAGAGAAACTTACTAAGTCAGAATTTAAGAGTGTCACTGCATCAGCAATATTTTTCCAAGCAGATGAACAGGCAAAAAACAATATATCCCTGATATTACCATCAGGGAAAATAAGAAACTATATAATAAGGCTTAGTATCACTCACATGACACACTTTTCAGCTTAATGTGGATCATGATAACATATATTGTGATAACTCTGAGGAGGATAATCATTTGTCTAAATTTACATTCGTCCAAGCTTAGTTATAAAGTGTTCAGACAGGCACATTCAACTACACTTGAGCGTTCCTGTGTGCAGTAGGATGAAAAGACCAGTCTGCAGTTTGTATTAAAAGTCACTGAGGCTGCGTCCAAAGCCATATCCTGCACTACACCCTCCTAATTAATGCACTCCTTACAGTTGCGTACTATTTTGACATACTATTTAATTATGGTCATGTGGGGGTTTTGAACACAGCCCGAATCTTTAATCGTCTTGACTCAAAAGCCAACTCCTCCCATCTGGTGGTCTCTGGCTCTGTTTACAGTTGGTGTTGACATCAGTCTTCACTGATCTGATCACAAACGGACAGCAAGACGAAAAGAGTCTCAAATACATCTCCAGTGCTTATGACTGGATTTCTGTGTCAGTCTCTCACTGCATTTGCTGTCAGACAAAAAGGTGCCATGAGTCCTTGTTTGACAAGAGTTGAGGAAAGAAGACACCAATGAAGGTGGCGCTGGGCATGTATGATCAGATCACCCATGACGCAGGTTAATGCCAGGTCCCTGACAGGCCAGACGTCCAGTCACACAAAACGTCTGATCTGACCCCAACAGACTCTTAACAATGAGGGCTTTAACATACGGTTCTAGGAAAAATCCTGAATTAACACAGAACCTTCAGATGGCGTGTAACCTGATGCGAAAATGTATCTTTTTGTGCTCTGGTTATATCGAGCATGACTGACCACACGATTTAAAATACAAAATTTCTGTTTCCCCACAACTTTCTACCAAATTTTCTTCTGAGTTTTGATTACATCACCATGAACCACCAGGCAGGGAACAATAACAATAACCAATAATATGTTTCACCTCCCTCTCCCACCAACCGCTATCTATTGTCAAGAGAAAGCTAAGCAGACAGATCCTCCCTGATACAATGTTTCACTCAGAAATGCAATGTGCTGATTTCAAACTGACACTGACTTTTAACTTTAATAAGGTTCTTCACATTTGCACATCTTATTTATGAAAACTTTTTTTACCCTTTAAATGTCCTCACCAAGAAAAAAGCAATGGGATTTGGGGAAATAATAAAAACAACTGGTGGGTTTTTTTTTTCGTTTTTTTGACCCCACAGTTTTTAAAATATTCACGTCTACTAAATGGCCGAGACGGCACTTTGTGGTTTATATAGTTACTCAAAATGTGCTCTACCAAATGGCTGAGCAGAACATTAAAGGGTTAAAGAGTTAATAATAGAGGGCAATTACTGCACCAATAATTGGTAATAACATTACCATTATAAGTGCTTTCCCCTCTACATCTTTAGTATGACTTCTTTTCCTTTTAAAATAAGTCTCCTGACTCCTCCTCATGTTTTATGTGATTGACTGTTAATCAAAAACATCCCACTTTCAAAGCTTATCTAAACCTGGGTTAACACAAAAGCTCAGGAACTTGATTTGTAAGACAAACCCCTGGATCTGGACCACCAACAAATGATAGTATCTCCTCTACCAAAAAGTTTATTCTAAATACACAGCCAGTAATCAACACTGATAGACAGACATTAGATAGAAATCTTCTGCCAAACAAATACTGTATCAACGTGAAAGTGGAACAGATCTACCAACAACCAGTTCCTTAAATAATATCATGTAACAATACCGCATCAGAGAAATCATAATGACTGAGCATTCAGGACTTTTATTATGCAAAACCTCTTACTCTGGTTTCCAAGAAACTCAATCTCAACAGGTGAGGAAGTGGTTAAGAGAGGAAATACTGAGTTTCAGCCAAGCCATGACCACAAACCACACACAAGCAAAAAATAACACTGAACTCTGGAGCTAAAACCGGTTCAAGAAGAAAGAGACCACGCAGAAGCCAAAAAAAATGTGAAATGACTCACTCAGTTTCGGAGCGATCCCTATATCTAGCGCAATATGGCATCTGTGGAGCTTTGAAAAGTTGGACCATGGCCTCCAAAAAAACATCCCAAATTTACATATTTGTCTATCCTGCAGGAAATTAGGAAATTTCCAAACAAGCTAATCTGTCACCATTATCACTTAATGATACTCTGACTGCATCAGAGAGAAAGAGATTCTCCTTAAACACAGATGATAGGCCTAAGCTGCTAGACACGTTTAAAATCACAGATTGCTTTTTCCCTTATCAGGCTATTCGATTAAGACAGATCCATCAGATTGTCTTCAGCTCTGGGCTGCAGTGCCCACGGACAGTTCTAATATAACACCATCCTGATCAACAGCAGTCACAGCGCTGCTAGAGAGGACTCATTATTCGGGCTATATAATAGACTGTACGTTACACGTTATCACGATAATGGCTACTGCAGTAGCGACATGGCAAACAGCTGCAAAGTAGCTCTCAAATCATCAAGTTTCATTAAGTGCTGTGAGCATCCTGACTAATCTCAGTGAGTGTTTGAATGACAGACATTCACAGGTTCCAACAATAAAAATAAAAATAATGCAGGCAATAATTTTAACCATTTTAATGATCCATTGAGGATTCATCTATACATTTGTAAGGTCAAAATATGCAGCAATATACTATATAATATAATATATTATTTATTATATAATATATATATATATATATATATATATATATATATATATATATATATATACACATATACACACTACTTGTTAAAGCCATCTGTGCCCGGAATACAATGTTAAAAGGGCACTCCAGCCAAAATAGAAAATTTAAGCAAGAATACACATTGTAAAGACGTCTGCTTGCATTCAACAGCAGTTCTGCAATAGTCTCTGGAGATCTTCACTTTAAAGACTAGAAAACCCCCCTTCTGATGATGCATCTTGAAGGTGGGAGGAACTGTTGCAAAGCTGCCACTGCTTTAGGGGAAGATAAATGAGGGCAGGAGTTTGAAGTGGTTTTGTCCCCCACCAGCTGGCTAATGCAGAAGGAAAAAAGCTATTTCTCTATTTCAGAGATGTATTTATTAACCTCTACATCAATGAATTGCTTTATAGCTGTGGGGGGATTCCCAGCGGTTGTATGACGTATATGCGTAACGCAGTAGAGTGTTGTAGTGAGACGCAGGACAACACAACAATCATTCAAAATCATGAATTCTGTCCATTCGAGAAGACTGAGGAATACAAGGCTGTGCTACAGCACACTGCATGACCTGACAAATGATAAATGCTCGTTTTAGCCAAGAATGCCCTTTAAAAGTGTTATGAAGCCCCTGGGTGGCCACCTATTTAGCTAGTGGTGTGTGCAAAACCACGAGTCTTCTGTGCACATTTCCAAAAATAGTTTGTAGGCAAAAAACACAGAGAAGCTCTGAACTCTTTAGTTTCCACAGTGAATCCTAGCTAAGACCTTATGCCGGAGGGGCAATAAGCGACAGTAATAGCAACTATAACATTAGCTAACCCTACCTGCATTGATCTGTTTTCCAGCACCAAAATAAAAACGCGGTGTCTAATGTAAAATAAAACTAAAACAATTTTAAAATGCCTTAATCAAAATTATTCCAGCTGCGTTGAACTGACCAGCTTTAATTCTCAACGCTGTGCAACTATGCCACTCAGATTTAACTGAAACAAATACCGACAGCTATGGATGCAGCTAAGGTAACTAACCTGACGTTAACTGGCTAATTTATAGCCTCGAAAAAAAACGTTGACGAGCACGTTAAGTAGAGGCAAACGAAGCTACATCGGTTTTGTGAATATTGCTTGTAATAAACCAGCAATTATCTTTGTATTTAGTTCAATGAAATGGCTCGGCTAATGTCGGCAAGCTAATGCTTAGGGAATGTAAGCTGAGATGTAGCTAGCTGGCTAAGCTAGCTTGGCAGAGAATGGTTATCTAACTAACCATAAGAAAATAAGCTCCCAATACAACAGAAAATATGTCACTTACGTGTATTACACGTTCTTTACGGTTTCGTGATCAATAATCGTGCAGTTATATAATATTAACAGGAACGCTAGTGTCGAGTTAGGTAGCTTAGCACAGCGCTACGTGGCTAGTTAGCTTAGCGGCTACCTGCATCGCTCCACTATACACAACAGCAGTGAAACGATTAGAGCCGAGCGGTCCGCTTACAGCTCCAACTCACAGCCCGCAGCGAACACCTTATCCAGATTACCTGTATGTAGTTGCTCTCGCAGTATTCCGCAACCCGCTCTAAATTGGCGTAACTGTCCAGCAAAGCGCCTCGACCAGCGGGAATCTCCTCTTCCAAAAGCATTTGTAACTCCGCCATCTTCACATCTTCACCACCGCCTCGCCGATGCGTGAGCAATGAAGTGCGCAGGAACCCAGCAGCTTTCTCCCTCACTGACTGTGCCTGTTCTGATGTAAGTAGTACCTGTTCACGAAATACAGTACACTGTATCTCCAAAAGTGTTCAGACACCCGTTCTTATTAGTGGATTCGGCTACTTTTGCGCCCTGTGTTGACAGAGCATGTATAACCTCCATAGAAAAGCATTGACAAAAAAATGGGAAGCGCTGGAACAGCCAGCCGCACATCAGCCTAAGATCAGTATGTTCAATGCTAAGCGTCGGCTGGACGGGTATAATGCTCTCCAGCACTGGGCTGTAGAACTGCATCGTCTGAGGAGATGAAGCTCCATCCAATACTTTTGGGATGAGTTTGAGTGGCGGTTGTGATGCAGAATTAATCATCCAACATGCTGACAGTATCCTCACGCATGCTCTTTTGGCTAAATGCAATAAAATCTCACAGCCATGTCCCAATATGTAGTGTAAACCCAGAAGAGCAGAGGTTGGTGCTGAAGCAAACATCTTATCAATAACCCTGATTTCAGAAGAAATGTTGGAAGTCTACACATTTGGGGCCAGTTTCCTGGACAGTCCTGGATTTCACAGCATTCTGAATGGAGGGTCTCCATTGAAAGGACAATATAGTCCAGGACTGGGCTTAATCCCTGTCTGGGAAACTGACCCACAGTATATTTTTTTTAATTATTACTCAACTCCTTTGTCTGTTATGTTATTAACTCTGGGCTCAAACAAAATGGCAGATAACCTCTTTTCTTTTTTATTAGTAAAAACTGAGGCCGTGAAGGAGCTGTTTTTCATTAGTCTGGGCATTCAATGAAAATGTACAGCACACAAACAAATCAAATTTAAGCAGTTTCTTTCCTAAAAGGGAAACGTGGTGTGTGCCTGTTGAGTTCATTTTTAAGTTCTAATAACAACAAAAAAATAATAATCACATTAGGAATCATATATGAGTCCTATAATCAACAATACTGTTCTTTCCCAAAATTATGAGGAATGACATAATTACACACAGCCATGTCTGAAATCCAGCAAAAAGGTAAGTATAAGGACATTCATAAAAGATCTCTTGAAAGTGTCCCTTTGGGGGTGGCGTGAGAGGTCTGCACAGTTAGTCCCTCTTGCTGACAGTGATCCAGGTGTCATCCTTGGGTGTGCTCACTAGCTCATATCTGGCCTCCACCACTTGGCCTTTCACTTGGTGCAGCCGCAGTCTGCGCACCAGTGTGCTCAACAGCACAGCAGCCACTGTGTAGGCAAATCTGCATGTAGAAGGGAGCAAGACAAATTTTAGTGAGGCTCTTTTCACATCACACCAGCTATGAATTTCTACACAGGCATCACTTTCCATAATAACCTTTCTGCAGGGGTATAGATTAACATGAGTGAAATTATCATAACATGGATACAAGTATTTCAAACTACTAATCTCCAAAACTACCCCCAAATATCCAATAAAACTCACTACAGAAACACATTCTTAAAGAACTGCATATGTTAACATATGTTCACAGTGCACGTATTAATGCATACAGTATAGTGCAACAGTCAGAGGTCGCATTTTATTTATTTAGTTACCAGTCAAAATGGCCCTTAACTTAATGATTTTTAAAGAGATCTGAGGATTTCTGAGGAGATTAAATATATGATAATCGATTTGCATGAGGAAAAAAGAAAATCAGAAAACGCAACCAACTTCTAAGACTAAACTTTGGAGGTGTGCAAAAACATCCCTGCAGAGAAACTGAAAGTGACTCCTGAAAAGAATGGAAGTTGTAATTAAGGCAAAGATTGGACACACTAAATACTGAAAAAATTAAATGATATTATATTTAGTTGTCGAGGCTTCTGTAAAATGTTCTGTTAAATGTGTGTTTTCTGTTTTTTTCCCCCAACACTGAAAAATGAATCACTTGTACTCTGTGGCCAGTTTGCCTTAAAGTTAAGTAAGAGTGGTCTCTGACTTCTGCACAGTACTGCATTACCAACTATAATTGCTCAGATTAGGCTGGATATATACAAGTTATTATAATGTTTGAGTATTTACTCTTAGTGTTATCTCAGTTTACCTAAGTTCAGGGCAGGCCTGGTTTCCTGAAAAGCCCAAGAGCGAGAAGCTCTTCATAACAGACTCGTCTGTAAATCTGTCTGGATCAAACCTGCAAAGGCACAGAGACATGATCAAAGACTCAGACATAACACTACTGTATGTACTATACAAACACGTGTGCACACGCACCTGTACGGTAATGTCCATGTGTCTGCATCTTGAAGGACTACTCCCAGAGCATAGATAACCAAAGTCTGCTTCATAAAGGAACAAATAAATAACTGTAGCATCATACACTAACAAATATCAAAACCCAGCATCTGAGATACTAACAAGTTAGTTGGCTCGCATACAACTCTGCAATCCACCACCTTTATATTACCTGAATTAGCAGTTATGATAGCATGAACAATAATCACCTCTTTAGGGATGACATGCTGATCCACCTTCCCCTCAACCTCCTGCAGTCTGGCTGCAATCGGGGTTAGCTTGGCCGTGCGTACAGTCTCGTTCAGTACCTGCTGGCAGTATCTGAAGAGAAACGACATCACAGTTGTACAGCTAATTCTAATACTGGCAACAGTGCAGGAGCACCCTCTAGTGGCCAGAGCGGAGAAGGGAGCCATAATAACATGCAACCTAATTTAGGCTATAGCCTATGGACAAAACAGACCTGAGCCGTGGAATTTGGTCCAAGGAGACAGGCCCATCCCCCAGCACATCTATTAATTCCTGATGCAGTTTCTCCTGCACTGCTTCTGAGATGGACAGAAAGTGTACTGCCCAGATGCACACTGGGAAAAATCAGATAGAAACAAGTCAAAATAAGCAAAGAAAAAACAAAAATGGGAACAACAGAGATATTTCAAATGAGTGAAGCCAAATGTCAGCTGGACAAATCTGTAGGAGCAGATATGGATGACATGAAGGCCCACACTTTGATAGAACATCAGATTGGTAACCATGCCATGTGATTAGTTCTAGGAAAGCACAGTGGATGATTTCCTAGAGCCCTCTTTTAACCAAATGTTAGAACATGAAGATGTCCTAACTGCTTTCGTTACATAGTCCTTGTTTGTAAACAAAGGAATTAAAACCTCATCAAAAATATTCTCTGGGCTGTGGTATTTAAAAGGAACCATCCTCAGTAAGTCAAACAAAATTACCTTTAAACTACAAAAAACGCTTTTAACTTCATATGAATTTATCTTTTAAGATATGTGATGAATCAGTTGCAATAAACAGGCATTCATAAGCTGTGTCAGAGTGCAGGGCTCCATCTAAACAGAAGTGAAAGAAGAGCATGCTTTACTATCACAGGGAGAAGCAACATCTGCTTACAATTTGCAGTGATGACACAGCCAGCGAGGGTGAACACCATGCTTTCCTCCATTACCTGGGGGAAAGAACAGAACAGAAAGCAGCAGTCAAATGAAATGAATGAATTCTGGGGTGCTGAAAGGGTCAATGAAAGTCTGAAAATTGTTTGGAAAGGGACCCTGGATCCATCCATCAATAAAGGCTCAAGGCACTGTTCACAGATGTGTGTATATAAGTCTGCATATTACTACTCCTAAAAACTATTAGAATGTAGATATATTCAAGAATTTACTATAACAAGAATGTTTAGTATTTGCTACTTTTTTTTTTAACAATTTGAACGATTTTTAATCTAAAACTTCACTATGATGCTCAAACCTCCCTTAACACACCTTAAATAAACTTCAGCTCTGACACTGAACATGCACAAAAGTTAGAATTATATATAAAAGAATGATTACAGCATGAATAGACTATTCAAGCTACACTGTGTAGGTTTGGAGATTTGGAGACCCCTCTGGTAGAAATGTGTAACTGCATGCAATATGCAGAACAAAAATCATCCAATCGGAAGCCTCTGACTTTTAAATTATTATTTCAGGCTTTATAGGGTGACTGGCAGCAGCACATGCACACCACATTTTGGTGTTTTTTCCTCTTGGCTCAGTAATGCTACTTCTCTCCTTTTTAGCAAAAAATATTGAATAGTGCAGCTTTAAGAAAATATTCTCTGTGGTCAACTGATGTGTTGCTGTGACATCACCTGTCTCTCTGACAGATTGGCCTGCAGAAGTGAGTCCATGAAAGTTGACTTGCTGGATCCCCGTCCACTTCTCTCTTTAATAACAGACTTCAGTACAGATTCCATCTCAGCCAGTGCTGTAGATAGACACACATTCGCTCTGAACGTTCAAACTCATGAAAACATTGTCAAACATGTCAAATCCAACTTTATTTCTTGATGGATAAACAGCTTGTATAAACATTAAGGGTGTAACAATTTCAATATTTATCAAAAAATCAAATTTGAAAGTGTATCAAAATTTAAAACTGAATCGCCAATACACCCCTTGGTCTCTTCACTGTCAGTGATTAAAACTAGATATCTGGGTGCAGCCTGTAAGAGTAAAGTGGGTGGGGAGGGAAGAGGCTTATGCTAAGGACCAACCCATACTTAAATGACTAAGCTTTTTATAAATTAATAATAAATTCTAGGGGTTGTAATTTTTGGGGTTTTAGGGTGGCAGATAACTGTAGAACCATTTTTAGCATTTGTAACATACAAAATATAAAAAAATCTGACTGAATCTTGACCATATTTTTAAAAATGGCATTGAACCAGAAAGTATGTGCATCATTACTCTCCTTTAGTGCACATATATTTAAGTTGTGCACATGAAGCAAACTTTAACATTTTAACATAAATATTTAAACACAAAGCACATTTTCAGGCATTCCTTATTTTTGCTCTATCAAAAAAATACATAATATTAAGACACCACTGTATAGTATTGAACCCATTTTTGAATTGTGTGTATCATTACAGCCCCAATAAACAGTAGACTTCATGATCACTCACCACTCTCATAGTGGGCCTTTCTGCTTGAGCTTTTCTCAAGAGAACCATCCAGATAACCTTTACCAATTTCTGACCAGATCTGTTAATCAAAAATGCAATAAACATGCTGTTACTATCCATGTAGTATTACTGATATGAACTACAGGTGGGCAAAATTACAATATTTATCATTATCACGATAAACAACATCACATTTTGTCACAATATGAGCATCAATGATGTTAAGTCAGTACTTAAAGAATAACAAACTAATTAAATTTAATTAAACTAAAAAAAAATAATTGTATTCATTATATTCAGATTTTGATTTTTTTTTTTTATAAATGTGGCATCACTGGTATCATGATGCATATTGTGTACAGAGACAATGTGTTTGGTATATTTTTGCCATATCGCCCACCTCTATAAAGAACATAAAATTTTCATATAAACTCATAAAAACTCTTATATGTGCATATATATATATACATATACATATATATTACTCACTGCCTCGTGGTTCTTACGGAAGCGAATGACCGCAGTATCGTCTGAAAAGCGACTGCCCATGGCAAGTTGAGTGACAGCCTTCATGGACAATCCCAGCAGGTGAGCACAGAGGGGAATGTGCTGGGACTTTGGATACGACTGCCATTTTCCAACCAACTCTTCAGCCAGCTGCAAACGCAAGAGTAAAGGATCAGGTGTCTAATTAAACAAGAAACTGAAGGCAGCAGCCAAGACTTGCCGTTGTCATGATGCTTGTGACTCTTTGCTCTGTTATGTACTATTAACAACATATGGAAGAATATAGTCTCATTTCATAAGACAAGCAGTGTTTTTGTACCTTAAGCAGAATAGGCAAGTTATTCTCCAGTGTTTTGTTAATTGCCCCCTCATACACCTTCTTCCTCATCAGCGCCTCTGTCCCTCCTGTGCCTGCCCCTGACTGGTACCCAAGCAACGACTTGAGCATTGTCTCAAAGGAATCCGCTAAAGAACAAAAGGGCTCATTAAACATTTAAATAGCAAACAATATCAAACATACATTGTTTAGGTTTATACATGGATCAATGACAAATAAGGCTTTAAAATGATAAAATTAAAAATCCTTTTTAAAAAAAAGATATGTTGTGCATTTTTGTATCTGCAAGAATCTTTTCAATGTGTTGATATTTGTTTTTGTTGCTTTTATAATGGAAGAATTTTTTTGACATGATCATCAATTTTACCAGCCTGAAAAAGTCCAGTGGTGCAACCACACATTAATAAAAATGTTGGATTTTTATTCTAGATAAGTTATTTACAGCTGCTTGTTTTTCCCAAATAAATATACATAATAATAAATATAATAATATAATAATACATGCTCATGGTTTTTCTGGAGTCGCAGCAACTGACTAGTCCAACCATCCATCCATCCATCCATCATCTAAACCGCTTATCCTTCTGGGTGACTAGTCCAACCATGACTCTTAAATTACTGTTTTTGTTCAATATTTATTAACAGGCCTCTGGCCTCTGTATTGTACCATGAAGGTCACTTGGGGTCTTCTTTTGGTGCAATACCATGCCCACTCTTTCTTAAAAGCATATCAGAATAAAAGTCCTTTGTTTTCGGTTGTAACACATGGCATTTAAGGAAACCAGAATTAGTTTTGCAATGAGATGAAGACTTTCAAAGTTGCTCTATTTTGCAACATATTATCATTATAAAGGTTTAAAATATAAAATCATACCAAACTATTTTATTCAGAATTTTAAATGACTAAATTACCATTTTAAATACTTAATTGAATCTGGATACATGGTTGGACAGTCGCACCCCTTGACATTTTTAGACTTTGGGAGGCAAAAATGGCTAAAATCAATTTACATTGATAAATAAAAAATAAAATTCACATACAGTAAGTATTGTAGAGTGATGCAATATGTGTTATGTATTTATTAAATTAATTAAAATAAAAATGATGGCCTTGAACATAAAAATGCACAGCAGGTCACTGACCCAACTATTATACACAGGAGAATGATACAATTTCTTGCATGTATAAATGAGCTATAAAAGGAGCTAAACTATTCCATAACATCAGAGTGAATGAATCTTTTTATTCCCAAAGCGGACAGACACATAAAGCAGACTGACACAGGTGCGCCACCAAGTCTAACAGCAGAACAAATTCGAATCATTTGTATAAAACAAATAGGTCTTCTCTGCAGATGACCGCTGGGCCATCACGTTCTGTTTCTGTTTCTGACTGATCTGGGCTTGTTAAATGATGTTACAGACTGCTGTACTCACTAGTCCGGTTGGGGTTTATATGCTGTTGCAGCTGATCGACTGAACCAAGACTCACTACCGGTGTCCGGCCGAACCAGAAAGACGCCACTGAACCAAACTGGTCATGAAGACCAACCAAGAATTCATGCAGGCTTCCTCTGTTCACAATGTCCTGCAGGTTACCATCCCTACAGAACAACGGAGAGAGCACAGGACCAGAGAGTGAAGGCTTGAATGTCTGAGTGAGAAAAAGATGAGTTATGCAAATTTATCATGTTACTCACTTCTCTTCTGTAGGATTCAGGCCAGGCACACCAGAGGCCCTTCTTGAAGACTGGAAAAGCCCAGCAGAATGAAGATTAGACATGGATTCATTAATCATAAACATTAAAAGGGAACTTTTCAAACATTTCTGCATAATTAAATGCTTAACATGCCAACAAAATCAATCAGAGTAGTTTGGTGAGAATGCTCTGTATTTAGAGAAACATGCTGAGTCAGAATCGTTCACAGTGGTGGTGATAGGAACTAGACGTCTGAAGTGTTTGATGCCTCTAAAAGCTCCCTCACAAAATGCTGACATGAAATGATTACGAATATATTGCCAGATGTTTCCGACATTGTTTTACTGTAATTTTGTCATAAATTTTTTACTCTAAAACCCATGTGTCAAACACAAGACCCAAGGGTCAAGTCAGGCTCGTGGCACAATCATATCTGGTCTGCAAAATAATTTTAATTTTCTATTAATATTAGCCCAGTTTCACACTGAGCTGCACATCAACCCCGAGCATGCACTGCTACGTAATGTGCTCTGACACCAACAACAATGTACAGAACAGCAGTTACACCACAAAAAGGAAAGCTGGCAGGTGTCATTTAAAAAACCTACCTCCTGGGTCCTTTAAAGAGGTTTAACGGTTATCAGTAGCTAATGTAGCCTATTCTTTTTATATAAACAATTTGTTTTTATTTAAAATGTTTTTTAAATAGTTTAGGCATTTGTGTAATATTTCAAGGTCAACTACAAGTTCCTATATTCGTTTGTCATAATTTGAATAAACAATGGCCATCAAATCATATCAAAATGTTAATTAAAAATGAAATAACGCAGGCGTTCTCTGGCCCACAGATTTGTTGAATTTTTTTAACACAGCTCTTCAAGTAGTTGGGTTTGACACTCCTGGTCTAAAATGTAATTTAATTTGTTTATTTTAGTCCATCATGGTGGAAGGATACAAGAAGGGCATTCTAAGGCAAAACAGACCCCAAAGAAAACTTGTTTTCTCAGCTATTTTACCATCATCAATACATTTATCAACTCAAAAGACCCATATAGGTTTACTGGTGGCTGTGGACAGTAAATAAACTGGCCATATTTGCACTATAGACACGGTAGACTGGTTCTTATCACCACCACTGTAACGAAATCTGAGTCTTTAAGTTTATCTATTAACCATTTTAACTACAAAAAAACTCTCTGAATTACTTTGTTTATATCTCAACCACTGAATTATGCAGACATTTTCCCCTTTAACCAAACATCTGCATGAATACCTGCTTTAAGCTATATGCTAGATTTACAGTTTGTTCTCTCTCTATACCCACAGGAAGAATATTTCCTTATAAACTTCAACTTTTGTGCTTCATTCACTCTCAGAAAGTTCAGTTTCTGGCAAACAGGCCGCAGAACAAAAGCCAAATCGTTCTCCAGGTCGTCAACAAAGAGCTAAAGTAAACTAGAATAAACAGCCGATAAAACAAAACGTCTATGATACTTTTAGAAATCAGCGAGTAAAGTTACGGAGTTTTTTCATGCAGACTGTTTAAATTCTTACCGGATACAAATACAGAACAGCGCCGACCAAGATGACAACAAACGTCACAGCAAATATAGCGAAGTCCAGCATATTCGCTCTCTTAAAGCTCCCAAATCGTTCATAAATGTGTTAAAAATAACGCTGAACCACTGAGCTGCTGAATTAGAGCTAATATCTTAGCCGTTAGCGGACTAACTGACTACCACGTCTACAACAGTCTACGCCTCTCCTGCTCGGCAATCGACTACACGGCAAGACCGAAGCAAGTGAGTACTGAGGGGATCGATGGTTCTCTGCGTTAGGCTAACCATGCCACATTACTATGTTGACAAAAAATAATAAAAGAAAATAGCATTTACACTGCGGTAAATTGATTAAAGCCTAAATAAACATGCCTGAAAAAAATCTAAAAAAAATATTAGCGTCTGTGGAAAGTACTAATACTAAGTATTAATTTGGAAATTTTGTACTATTAGCATCAAAACTGAATATTACACTTACACTGTTACTCCTTACATTTTCATTTAGGCCATCGTAGTATACCTACAAATCTCGAAGGCCATTTTTCCTCTCTTTATCCCTTGTAGAGAGTTCAAGAGTTTGACTTTTTTGTTTTTATTAAAACAGCCAAATTCATATCATTGTAAAATTAAGCCACCTACAGCTAGGCTGTGCTAATTTGCTAGTTTGTTTTTGTGTGAGGGTCAGGACAGCCCGTTAGGCAGTGTATAGCACTTTGCTTTAAAAAAGGACAAAAAAAAATTGAAGAAAAAAAACCCACATTTTTTACTCTTATACTTTTTTACTTTGATATGTTTGAATATGTTTGTTTACTTTCACTTAAATTCATTTTTGGCTCCATTTGGCAGCCAATAGCAAACAGTAGCGTTCTAATTAGCCTAATTGTGCGTTAATTAAGGGGCGGGGTTTGAGGATAATTGACTGAAGCGAACGCTCTTTAAATATGGCCCATCAGGTTGAGTTGGAAGCGTTGTTTAACTGAAGCCGACGTCCAGTATGTCGAGAGCTGTAATAACTGTGTTCGGTCTGTGTGCTGCATTGTGCGGCGCCCAGCAGCTGAAGGACCCGTGGCTAATGGCTCAGGCTAATAATCTGCCGAATTTCGTACAACAACCATATAATGCGCCGCAGCAAGGTCGCTTTCTGCTCCAACAACCGTCTCAAAGCGTTTATCCGCCTGCCTGGCAGTCAATACCGGCCGTCTCTGATCTTCCTCAGCGCTGTGAGGTGGACGACTCTACCCGGGTGGGTTGTGGAGAACCAGGCATTACTCCAGCGGACTGTGAGGCTCTAAACTGCTGTTATGATACGAGACGGTATATTCGAGCACCAGATGGGCCCCTGTGTTACTATGGGAAGGGGGGTGAGTAATGAGTAAAGGGGAGTTCCATTGATTTTTCAAAACCTCCCTATAAATAAATCTTCAAGTTCTAAAGTCGTTCAGAGTGGTTTGGTGTAAAAATGCGCTGTTACAGAAAAAACTTGCAGGGATGGGAACCAGACGTTTGAGGCTTTTGAAGGGGAATTCCACCAATTTGTAATAATTCTTGTATAATTCAGACACTTGGATGTAAGCCTTCATTCAGAGTAGATCAGTGCTAAATGCTCTTTAACTAAGTCAGAACTGGTCACTGTGGTGGTGATGGGAGCCAGACGTCTGAAGCACTAACTGCCTTTTAAAAGCTCCCTCACCAAAAGTTATTACACAATCATTTATGTTGCTTGATGTCTGACTTTTGAGGCTTTTGGCTTAAAATATAACTTTTTAAAATCATGGTGGACAGATACATAAAGGGTGTTGTGAGGCAAAATGATCCCAAAGAAATCTGGGGGAAAAAAATGTTGCCTCTATATTTCCAGGATCACCATTACATATAAAACATCAGAAGACCTGTCTGTTCACTGGTGGTTTTGGATAGTAAATAAAATGGCTATATTTGTCTCTGACCCCTGGTTCCTATCACCACCACTATAAACAAATCTGAGCCAGTAATTTTCCCTTTTCATATCAAACCACTCTGAATGATTGGTTTTACATCTCAAAGACTGAATTATGCAGACATTTAAAAGTGGCGTTCCCCTTTAATGCCTCTAAAAGCTACCTCAATTATTTAAGTGTGAGTGGTTTTGATAAGGCTTTGGCTTTTGATATGTCTCACACACCACCGTTCATGGTGAAGAGGTACAGGCAGGGTGCTGTAGGACAATAGTACCAAAAGAACTTTTCCAGATTTGCCCCAATTTTTGTTATTGATGTTATATTTAAAAACCCAGACATGTAGGCTCTCTGGTGTTTGAGTTGGTACATAAAACTGGGTTGAAGACATGACCCCTGGTTCCTATCAGCACCACTGTAAAGAAATGAGTAGAATTATCTGCAATGTAGTGTTTCATGTTAAATGAATCCGAATGACTTTGTTTACATCTCAAATACATTATGCAGTTTTTTTTAAATGAGTAAAACATTAGCTACTGTTTCCCAGACAGACTTATTTTTGATGTTTGTCAACTGTACTGAATGTTGGTAACCCCTTGGATTCAGTCACTGTACAGTGCACTGAGGATGGGCAGTTTGTGGTGGTTGTGGCCAGAGATGCCACTGTGCCTCGTATCAGTCTGGAAAGCATCAACATGTTGGAGGCTGCTGGTGAACACTGCTCTGCTGTTGACAGCAATACTGAATTTGCCATCTACCAGTTTCCATTCACCTCCTGTGGTACCAGAATGGAGGTGCGTAAGTGGCCGTACAAGTGTATGAGGCTTTGCACCAAGACTGTCTGGAGGCTTTCTCAAGATTTTAACCTTAACTTCCCCTCAGGTGGAAGGTGACTACATTATTTATGAGAACAGGATGGTGTCCACATATGAAGTGGGAATTGGTCCTCAGGGAGCCATCACAAGAGACAGCTCGTATGAGTGAGTGGCCTTTGTAAAACGTGGCTAAAATGGCTGCCCAACTTGCTAGAACCAACTTGATTCATGTTACTTTCTGCTTGCAGGCTAACATTCCAGTGCAGATATCTGGCTACGGCAGTGGCGCCTCTAGTGGTGGAGGTGAACACAGTTCCTCCCCCTCCTCCAGTCTTCGAACAGGGTCCTTTGCAAGTGGAGCTCAGGCTAGCCAATGGCATCTGTGCTGCTAAAGGGTGTTCAGATGGTAGGGTGTACATCTGACCTGACTGTTCTTTAGGAAATGATTGATCACTTCAGATTTCACCTGTATTGGGATAACTTGGAGTCTACAACTGTGACTAGAGGAACTATAGTCATGTATGTAAATTCATTTTAAGATGCCTAGAGGAGTATTCTGTTCAATGTGCACACTTTTTGAATATTAGATTACAATGAGTTCTAACATTCCCAGATTATGGCTTTTAAACCATTTTGCCTACTTGGATCAAAATCAAAATTTGCATCAAGATGCAAAATCCACATTTATCTCTCTTCAGTATATTCACTTGCATCCTCAGATGTGTTCCTTTGCCAAGTTTAGGCCAAGTTCTCTTTGAATTGTGGGTTTTTTTGTTTTTTTTTGTTTTTTTTTTTTTTTTTTTGTTTTTTTTTTTTTTTTTTTAAAAGTGTGATTGCCATCACTGGATTTGAGACCCAAAGGAGGTCTGAAGCACAACCAACATTACGAAAGGTTGTTCTGCACATTGTATGCAACTACACATTTCCACTAATCTCAATACCCAAAATTTGCATAGTGTAGCTTTAACCTGACCTTGGGACTACAGTCATTAGCTACAATTTAGTGTCTGTTAGGTTTCATTTGGAGAAGGTAGCCCTTTTATAGAGGAGCTGTAGAAATAGTTGGCATGGAAACTGGAGCTAGTTATCCATAACTAATGTTCTGAAGGGATAATTGGCCAAAATGGAAAATGTAACCACTTCATCTGTTAACATGCTTACTGGGCTCCTACAGTGGTGCCACAATAGTCCCCAGAATAGATTTCCTAGTTTAAAAAAAACAAAACAAAAGCCCCCTCAGAAGATCTATCTTGAAGGTGGGAGGAGCTTTTAAAAAACAGGAGACAAAATCATGAGGCTGATGGATACAGTGCTGTTCTATGAAACCTGTCCAATAATGTCTTACATGCTAGTTTTCGGTTGAATGCCTAACCTCTTTCTTCCCACTAGTGGAGATATACAGCTCGTACTACACAGAGGCTGACTACCCTGTGACTAAGATACTGAGGGAGCCAGTATATGTGGAGGTGCGCATGCTGCGGAGAACTGATCCAAACCTCGCCCTCGTACTGAACCGTTGCTGGGCCACTTCTAGCCCAGATCCCTCAAGCTTGCCTCAGTGGGACCTGCTGCTTAATGGGTAAGAAGACGTCACGCTAACTTGCTAATGAGCTGACGATTTCAATTTGGCTTTTAATCCTTTGTTGCATGTCTTGTACGGTTTGCTTAGGTGTCCTGATACAGATGACCGTTACCTGACCACTGTGCTCCCAGTCAACCAGTCATCTGGCCTGCAGTACCCAACCCACTACAAACGCTTCGTCGTGAAAATGTTTACCTTTGTGGACAAGACTTTCCTTTTTCCTTCACAGGAACAGGTATGGGTATCTGAAAAGCATCCATTTTAATTTTCAGGTACAGTTTAATTTAAAAAGCTACTCCAGAAAGAAATCACTAGTATTAGCACTCCACAAGCTTTTTCATGCAATCTTGTTTAAGACTTTTTTTTTTTTTAAACTTCAGAGCAACTTCATGAATGAACATGTATATATTTTATAGTTTAAATTGTACCATTTAGTTTGGCTTTTGGGGGGTGGGGTGCACTTTTTCCTTTGAGGTCCACTTCACATTCATGATTTTGTACCAAAAATGGTCCGTTTTAATGGTACATTTATTAAGAGATTTTTCCCATCCCTTTTTATTAGTCACAAACTGGTTGTTTTTCTTACTGTGCCTTTTAAGACTGGACTGGTTCTGATTGGCTGTCTTGTGTCTCAATCAAAGCTGAAACACCTTAGGTGTGAGTCCATTCTTGTGATCTCACAATTTTTGCAGCTTATTTTCCATATATAAGGACTGGGGAGTGAAAAGTATGTTAAACTGTCTTCATATTACTTCAAATTTTAAAAGCAAGGGAAAGCATAAGGGCTCTTAACTCTATGGGCTCAAACTTATTTAATTCCTCCACCCGCATTTAGATCTTCATCCATTGTGCCACAGCCGTATGCCAGCTGTCTGCTACAGAGACCTGTGAACCAAGTTGTGGCAGGAAAAGTAAGTGTTGGGGTGGAGTTTGAGTTTTGTGTTTGGGGTACAATCAACAACCACAGCATTTAACCCTTCACTGCATGGTGTTGCAATATGGCAAGTAACGTTTTTGGTGCTGATATTTATGCCCTGCAGTAAAGTTACACTTTGCTTTACAGCAGGTGTGACTGCTCAATTAGCTGTAGTACATTGTGACTTCAGCTTCGCGACTCTTATGTTTGACAGCTTCTCGTTGCCAACAAAATGTTTTGGGAAACCAGCTGAGTGCTTAAATACAAAAGTCAGTTTGCCTCAATTATTGATCATCTTGAATCTGTCTTTTTGTTAGCTGCTAGGCGAGTGTTGCTGTGGTGACCAGCAGTCTGCGTGCCAACCTTCAGGGTTAAAGGGTGAATTAGCAGTTCTACATTAACTCCAGCGTTTAAGACCATTTATTGTTAAACTGAACAATCAGCAGAGCTTTATTTTACTGCAAAATAGCCATGTTGCTGACCCCTGTAGTTTTTTTTTTTTGTCAAGTTTAAAGGCAGTACATGTACTAATACTTTTTCTACTGCCCAGGAAGAGCAGTTCCAACCACACAGGATTTGGAGAGTAAAGTCCTAGTGTCCAGTGGTGAGGTCCTCTTTATTGCAGACATGCCTGTTTCTGCTAAAAGCCAAGCAGACAGCGATGGAGAAGGTACGAACTTTAGTATAACAGCATTAACCTGTTTATCTAAAGTCAACTAAAGGAATTGTCTGTTTTCCTCTGTCTAGTGTCTCAGGTGTTCAGCTATGGGCTGGTCGGAGTAGCTGTGCTTACAGTGTTGAGCATCTGCGGACTGCTTATCGCTCTATTAAGGCGAAGGTCAAAATCACGTCCTCGCCTTCAGACAACAAGACTATGATGAATAAAGTGACTTCATGTCAACCTTCTGCCTGATGTTCTGATTTCCACACTTTAAAGGGGAATTTTACTAAGTGTTTGCATAATTCAATGATCTAGTCATTGTGGTTTGATGTGAAATGGAGTATTGTATACTCAAAGGTTCTTCAAAGAAAATGGTTCTGTATAGAACCATGAACACTCAAAGAACCCTTTGCATTATAAATGGTTTGCATCATAAATTGGTTCTTCAGATTGATGGAGAATATGCTGTAGATGGTTCTATATAGAACCTTTTTGAAAACTTTCTAGCACCAAAAAGGGTTCTACTATTGTTACAGGCTTGACATTTTCAGTAGAAGCAGCCTTTTTGGGGCTACATTAGAGCCATTTGCAGCACATTCTCAATCTTGAACCCTTTTCTTGTTGCAAAGAACTCTAATCATACAAAGGGGTGTTGAGTGTTTTGGTTCTATATAGAACCATTTTTGTTACTAAAGAACCCTTGAACCATAATTTAAGTGTGGAGAAACTTTTCCAGTGGTGGTCCACAATAGTCATGTACTGTCAAACCACCAGTGAACCTGCTATGTTTTAATACTATCAAGTATAAATATGGACACTTGGCTTGTAACAGTCATGTAATATTCTGTACTGTCTCACCTGAGTAACACTTCATTTAAAAGCTTGAGCTTAAAGTCTTTTGTACTTTTAGCCAGTTAGTGTTCTGCTACCTGTTCAGCCCAAAGACTGCATATTTCTTATGTACAGTCTATGGTCCAGCCTGCTAGTGAAGACAGAATCCAGTTATAAAGAGACTATAAAGTGTAGACCAATTAAAGTAAATTTGTTATAAGCAAAGTGATATTCAACTAACAGTTGTTCATCTGGTTGCATTTTATGGGCTCAGATTTCAAACTACTGGGCTTATTTTTAAAGAGTTATTATGAAGCTACATTCTCATGTCTGCTGATCGCTCAACTAGTTTCACTCTGCTGTAATGGGATGAAACCAGAGCTTAAAAAGTAAGCATTTTCTCAACTTCTTTAGAAATGGTAATGAATGACACTTCTGTTCCCCTAACTGCATATGTCAGCTGTAATCTTGAAAAAATAAGGTGATATAATGTGAATGATACATTTTGAAGCTTTAACAGTGTTTTATGTGGTACATTAAACTCCTCAGTTATACATTTCAAGCCCTTTTATGTGCTTCATGAAGACAGAATGCATGTAAAGGCATTTCTACTAGGGCTTACCAGAGTCCCTCAAACAAAATGGCTTGCTTTTGAAGCTTGGCTGATCTACACTCATTTTGACTCAAGTGTAACAAATGAAGCTAGATGTAATGAATTAGAGGTTTTCATTCTCTAAACTTTATTTACAGTCTTACATCAGGGCAGAGTGCAAAAATATTCACATTTACGCAGGTGCTGTGTCTCAGGCAGGGACGTCTCCTTTCTCCTCAGGTTTGGGATATTCTATTTCCATCGCCATCAAGAAGTCTGTGCAAAGAAGTATTAGATGTTTTAGTTTCACGGTGAAGCTATTACAGTTTATGGTTGTTCAGTCAGAGCCTAGGACCAATAATGATGACTGTCTCACCTTCTGTGTAATCTACATCTGGGGAGGTGGACACCAAGACCCAGGCCAAGCCCACCAACAGAGTGACCACTAGATTCACTATGATCCAGGGGTACAGTGCACTGTGTTCAGGGCCAGGCACCCTGAGAGGAGAAATGCAATAATGTAGCATTTAGTGTTTGTGGTTGGACAAACTGTGTACTGGGGTGGCCGATATTACAAAAATGCAACATTGTGATACCTGACATCATAAGACAAATGCATTTTTCCAACCTAATCAATGTGTTTTTTTTTGTGTTGCTTTTACAATGCAACAAATTCATTTTTGAACAGGATAATCAATTTAACTGCCCCCAAATTTATTTTTAAATGTATTTATAAGTACTGAAAATGTATAAAGCCTAGTCTTTGTACTTAGACACCCATGTAAACCTTAATCCTTGTTTGTTTGTTTTTTTTTACTTAATAAACATTAAAATAGCAACACATGTTCATGGTTTTACTGGGGTCGCACCACCTGACTAGATCAACCAAACTAGTCTGTGACTCAAAAATGAGTAGAAAATAAATTTCTACTTGTCTCCTTGTTACTAAGCAGTTTTAATTTAACAGTGTGACACTATTAGTTTTTGTTATAGGATCTAGTCTAAATCCTTTCTGAAGCATGCAGTGGGCCAGTGTTCTAAAAAACACTGACGATGTCAGAAATGTGCTCAGGAAAGTGGTTTCATTTATTGTGATAACACATCTTCATAGTGCCCACCCTCAGTGTTTACCACATACAGCTATAGAAGACTCACCATAGTGAAGCATTGGGGCTAGAGTAGAGGTTGATGCGATCACTGGTCATCTGCTGGCTTAGAGACAGAACCAGAGCCGAGAAATATACTAGAGGAGAAAATCAGAAATATCAGTCCAGAATTTTAGATCAGAGGTGTCCTGGAAAAGGTCTGTTTATTGCACTTGCTGAAAGAGTAGAAAAAAAACCCACAGAAAGAGGCGAGTGCCAGAGGATCCAGAGTGAGCAGACTCCTCAAAGCCACAGACGCTTTGGCCAGGTTCACTCTGAGAGGACAAAGTTTAATTTAGGCTTTTAATTTAGAAGACATTTACCGTACTAATACATAACAGACCAAATTCAAATATGCTTGAATATACTGTTCACAACCCTGTGATGCTTAATCACAAACACAATAAATTCAGATGGCCTACCTGTCAAAGGCTGAAACAGTGCTAAGAGCCAGTAGGAAGTAGAAGAGGGACTGTGCAGGGTAAGCCAGTGTGTGGTACTGCTCGAGTAGATTAGGTAGAGTGCTCATCTGCTCCCCTGCCAAAACGTACAGCACTACAATATTCCATACTGCATAACCAGCCAGGAAGCCATGAGAGAACAGGCCTATCACCCTGTAGAAGAGCAGACAGCAGTTAGAATATGCTATGCACTGCTGTTCAAACAGCATTCTTAAAGGACCCCCCAAATAGACAAAAATATTAAAGGACATCAGAAAAATCTTCTTCCACTCCTTTTGGACTTTTGTCTGCCTTCCTTTGGAAGGCTGTAATGACACATTTGCTTCCCAACAGACATGAACAGCACAATGTTTAATTGTCCACCGACAATAACTCTGCTTCAGACTACCTGCAGTAACAACACTTCTTATCGCTTCAACGTGAAAGAGCAGGCTAAACTGCAAATACCTCCATGGTTATGACATCACCATGATGAATTCAAAACAGACTGTGTTGACTGGGGAGTGAATGGTACAGTTTAAAATTTTAAAGGGGAATTCCACCCATTTGTCAAAGTCTATTTATAATTAAATGTAACAATCATTCAGAGTGGTTTCATCTGAAATGCTCTGTTCTAGAGAAACTTATCAAGTTATAATTGTTCACATCAATGCTTATAGGAACCTGACATCTAAAGCATTTAATGCCTCTAAAAGCTACCTCACAGAAAACAAGTATATGAAAAGGTTACGAATACACTGCCTGATGTCTGACACAGTTCTGTGACAGTTTAAGAAAACGTTTTGGCCCAAAAGCAGATTTTTTTTTAAAAGTGCATGAATGAGGGAGAGGTACAAACAGAAAGTTAAAACAGTCCTCAAAGATTTTTTTTTTCTTTTTTCAGATTTGTTGCCATTTTACAATGATTAACATGGCTATATTGGTGTTGCAGACATCATGACCACTAGTTCCTGTCAGCACCACCGTAATTCTGTTTATATACAATGCACCAACAATGATTACGTATGACTTTGTTTACATCTCAGCAAATTAATTACACATCCAATTATGAAATTTTGAAAACTGGTGGAATTCCCTTTTAATAATGTTTACACAGTACATCAAACTTTTACTTAAAGAAAATAATAATATGGGTCCTGCAAAGACTAACAAACAAACATTCACTGTATCTTTCAGGTTTAATGCATGAGAAACGTCATGTGATTGATGTGACTGATCCAGGGAAGACTGCCTAAAATTGATGTCTAAAATGGAGGAGATATATTCATATATGTTCGTATTCTAGTGTTTTGAGCCTAATTCAATGAGCTTGCATGTCACACCTGAAGCCTCGGTGCACTCTCATGGACACGTCTCTGGTGGTCCACATCGACTGGACATCCATGAAGTTCTGCTCAATCTGACTGCTGCTGGTCTTACGTCTGTCTATACGCTCAGCTGGCTGAAAACGACCTGAGAGAACCCAGACTAGTGAGGACATATACTTGCTGCCATATACAGCCAACCCTTTATACGACTTTGTAAAACCTATAAACAAACGTCAGATTCTAATTATAGAGACAAAACAAGCTTCATTCTACACTGAAAAGAATTTTCTATTAAAAAACTATTGATAAACTAGGTTCAGTCTGTGCCTGGACAAATGGACTTGAACTAGTCAGGTGTATAAAATTTGGACACCAAAGTTATTGTTATTCAAGATTTCTTCCACATCATATTGTGTCCAAATATTTATGGACATCCCTGTACACAGAAAGCTGGAATCACACAAAAACGATCAGACCCACACTAGTAATCATGAGTTTGTGAACTTACGCCCTCTCTCAATGAACACCTTGGCCATGGGCTGACTAGGACCCTGAGGGGCAGAGAACAAAGCATGTTGGGGGATCGGAGGCTGGGCATCTGTGATGATGTCATCATCTTCTACGGCTAACTCGTTATTTAACTGCACGTCTGTCACTTTAGGCTTCAGCCTGCGAAGAGAAAGAGGGAGAGAGAAACAGGAAGTGAGGGATGGTAATGAACACAAAGCGTATCTTGAAAATACTGTATATAAAAAGCAATAACATGATAAAAAACGTGAACATTACATAAAGCAAAATTTAGAAGGTATTCTATTGCTTTTGACTCACTTCCTCTTCTTGGGTTTTCGTGTTGGTTCCTCGTCCGTGTTCTGGTCAGGCATGTCTCCGTTCTGTACTAGGTCAGTCTGGTCACTTTCTGGATCTAATTAACCACAGCACACCATCCATATCATTAAAAACCAGAGGAATTACCAGTGGATCAAGGAGAGTTAGCAAGGATACTACTGAAGGCAGGATACCACTTTTTTTTTCTCATAGTGAAACTACTGAAACTAGTATGCTTTAAAATAAGCTCTGAGCATCTTAAAGTAAGCTATTATTGTCAAACTACCCAAACCCTCTACCACCCCACAGGGAGAAATACGCAACATCACATCACACAATGTGAGCGAGTGCTATTTCAGGGCAGATTTGTTACAGGATTGAATCAGAATGATCCTCTTTTTCCCACCGATAGCTGATCCACTATTTTCTGTTGATATCTGTCTGATACCAATACCTGCAATCAGGTTGGTGCCATTTCTAAAGGATACTGTTAAAGCTTTAGGGAACCTAAATCCATGTTTTCTTGTTAAACTGGCTAATGTTCCTCTTGTGCAATATACATGTATAATATACCTGTAGAAAAAATCCCCCATGACCAATATATTTGGCAGAATCCTCCTCTTTCAATATAAATCTTGGGTCGCACATACAGAAGCAGTACCTTCACCAATCACAGGGCTGTGGTTTGTCCTGCCCACACAGCTTTTGAACAAAACTATGTTCGTCTAAGCTTTCTCTGTGCTTGAGTGAGGAGAAAGCTAACCACCAAGCGAACGCTAACCTAGCAGGCATAACTGAGCTATCAAGATATCTAGTGTTGGCATCTGTTCATGTGTTCCTTCATTTGGCTGTTAAACACAGCACATTCTACCTACACAACTCACACAAAGCTTCTAGCAACCATGCTAGTTTTTGTCATATGTTTCAATCAAATAAGGGAATCAATCAAATAAGGGAATCTCATGTTTTGATGTCAGTCGCACCAATAACTTGGGCTTTCTTCTTCTTTTTCTTCCTCTGTGGTGGATTTTCTTGGGGTTCAGGGGTCAAACGCTCCTGGCTCTCTGACGGTCTGCGGCTGTCCATGTCCCCCATCTCAATCCCAGCATCTCCTGTAGCTAAATGGGAAATAGGAACTTCGCGAAAACATTCTTTAAATTCAATGTAACACAATGTAAAGAGATTTTGTAGCATTTCTATCAGTCCATTCATCACAAAATGTTCACACAATGTAAAGGGCAGCTGTTGTGCTCAAACGATTTTGAAAAAAAAAAAAAAATAATAATAATAATAAATGGACATCAACTGTATATAAGTCATCAACTATATATGTGTTGCCCCTATGGTCAGGAGATTGCAAGTTCAGAAATCAGCAAGTGGCCAAGTCCAAGAGAACGCACACCTAGTCTACAGTATAACTGTGATAAAAAAAACAGTTTGGACTGTTTGTGGTTAGTCATATTCTAAAAAGAAAAAGTATATAATAATTCCATAATGTGGGTTGCGCAGGCTGTACATCTTATATGAGCTCACCCTCAGGAGCCTCGACTCCCTCTGTGTCCACTTCACGCTTGGCCTTTTTCTTCTTAGTCCTTAGAACTGGCATTTCATCTAAGCAAAAGATCGGCAGAGGCAAAAATATTGTTGGAAATTAAACTTGATTCCATTTTTTTCAAAATTTTTCCATGCTTCATTTGTTGAGGTGTAAACAAAATCATTTAGAGTGGTCTGATGTGAAAAGGCTCTTTGTAGAGAAACATACTGAATCAGACTCAGTGGTGGTGATAGGCACCAGGGGTTACGCTGTCTACAACAAAAATATGACCATTCTGTTCAGTATATAAAACAGCCAGCGAACCTACACAGGAGTTTTATATGTGACGTTGGTAATGCAATGAATAATTTGAAAAAGAAATGTTTTAGGCCACAGCTTTCTTAAAATTACAGTAAATGTCTCATGCATTTGAGTAATAACTTTATTCAAGATAGCTTTACATGCTTCAGACGTCTGGTTCCTATCATCACCACTGTCAAAACAACTCAAACACTATGAATGACTGTTTCCATCTTAACTATTTAATTATGTGGAAGGTTTTAAAACAATTTAAAAACGGATGCTTTTCAAAAAAAATGAAGGCTGCACAGCCCAATGTACCAAATTTGCAAGCTCCTCATGAAACACTAACCTGCTGTATCTTGACTTTCAGGGCAAGTAGGCATTAAGATGGAGGACAAAGAGAAAGACAGGAGTTAGCCAGCTGGCAGTTTGTATTATTGGTAGTGAATAGTATCACCTCAGCACCTATAGTTAGCACTGGTGAAGCTCACCTTGGCAGAGATGGTAATGCACGTGGACCCCGCTGAAAAAGGCAAAACAAAACAGGGAAAGAGTCTTAGATCACATGTAGTGTCTTTCACTAACTTTCACGGAATGCATGTACAGAAGTATTAGATAACAAGACAGATAAAGCTACACATAGCACTCCTGCCAGTTAAACTTCTTTTGGAAACTATAAGCAGAACACCACTTTCTGAATAGTGTGAAAAGGGGTGTTCACAGTGTGTGTGTGTCCGTGTGTGGAAAACTCACCAGTGGCTTCTTCGCCATCCCACTCAAGCAAGAGTAACAGTGGGACAGTGGGGATCAAATAAACAAACACACACACAGGTCTGCGCACATATAGCAGGGATTAGTGCGGAGCTAAATCTAAGACAGGCATCTGCTAGACAGCAGGATTAACCCTGAACACGAGGACAGTTACTCAAGAGTCAGAATCAGATTGTCACTCGGTCTTTAAAGGTGTATTCAAGCCTAAACTAGCACTATGTTATTCGTCGTGTTATGTAATATTCTCTAGCGCAGCCTTGCATCCTTGGGCCTCATCATTTGACAGAATTCCTGATTTTGTGTACTGTTTGTGTTTTCGCCCATCATTGTTCTCTCACTACAATACCCAGCATGCATTATGCAAACATGTTATACAACCATTGAGAATCCCCCCAGTAACATTAGCAGTAACATCAGTTATCTGGAATTACTTATGAATTTGGCAGCTAGTTCAAAAGAAAACAATAATAATGCCTTATATATCCACCCCAAAGTGCTCGTAGTTCCTTCAGCCTTCAAGATACACTATATGAACAGAAGTATTGAGACACCTACACATTACACCCACAGGAGCTTTCATGACATCCCATTCTAAATCCTTAGGCATTGATATGGAATTGTCCCCCCTTGCAGCTATAACTGCTTCCACCCTTCTGGGAGGCTTTCTACAAGATTTTGGAGAGGGTCTGTGGGAATTTTGCCCATTCATCCAGAAGAACATTTGTGAGGTCAGACACTGATGTTGGACGAGAGGGCCTGGCTGTTCTAGTTCATCTCAAAGGTGTTTGATGGGGCTGAGGTCAGGGCTCTGAGCCAACCAGTCAAGTTCTTCCACACCAAACTCATCCAACCATGCACAGTCATGCTGGAACAGAAAAGGGTCTTCTCCAAACTGTTCCCACAAAACACACAATGTCTTGGTCTGCTGATTTCCCTTCACTTGAACTAAGGGGCCTAGACCAACCCCATAGCACCATCCCTCCTCCACCAAACTTTACAGTTAGCACAGTGCAGTCAGGCAGGTAATGTTCTCCTGGCATTCACCAAACACAGACTCATCCATCAGACTGCCAGATAGAGAAGCCTCTCAGAAATATCACAAACTGACTTGTGGCAAAGGTGGCATCCTATTACAGTGCCATGTTTAAAGTCACTGAGGTCATCAATACGACCCATTCTACTGCCAGTGTTTGTTAGGCTACAAGGCTATGTGCTTTTTATCCACCTGTTGGCAATGGGTGAGGCTGAAACACCTGAACTCAATAATGAGGAATGTCCCACTACTTTTGTCTATATAGTGTATGTCATGAGAAGGGGGGTTTCTTAGTCTTTAAACTGGAAAAGCATCACTCTCGAGACTATCGTGGGACCACTCTAAGATGTGATTAGGCATGGTTACAACAGATGGAGCAATGGCTGCACTTTTTATTTTGGCTGGAGTTCCCCTTCAGGTGATAGCTCTGAGAGGCAGACATCCAAACACATGCACACACCAGACAGACACATTTGTGACTGGCTGGTAACTTCTTGGAAACTGATTTCTTTACCGACCATCTTTAATTTGAAGCCAGATCAGTGCTTAACATTCAATCTCAGAACAGAAAGCCTAAATATTTGACTTTCATGATTCATAGTTTTATTTTTTTTATAGCAAGTGAAAAAGATTTATTTATTTTTACATTTTTTAAGAAATGCAATAGCTGCCTAGATTTTTAGATGTGTATACAGACAATCATTGAAGATACATTTTTAATATTACTAAATAAAACATTAAGATCAAATCTTTGCCCTGCTGGGATGTACTGATCTGGTTGGCTAGTGAGTGAAGTGGGAAAGTCTGCCTCCTAATATAAGAACATGTCATGAACAAGAAACTACTGACGACAAAAACCTGTTCTTGGCAGAGATCTCGTGGAATGACTCCTATATGTTACCTGAGTGTAGTGATTTCAAACACCAGCATTTGCATTTATTTGGCCATGCGCGCAAAACTTAACTTACTTTGTGTGAAATTGGCGGGAGCTCCCTCCGTCTTATGCTCGGAACCTAAGTGGGACAGCATGGATAACCACCAACACCGAGATCAGGAAAACATTCCCCTTTTTATTTTTTTACTCAAATGACTGTGGTATAATTATGAGACTGAAGTTGGCTTCTTATTCGCCAGCTTCCTCTTCGAATTTTCCCGTTCCACCTTAAATGGCTCACTAGAATGTAACTACTGCACCACTTAAGGTGGAACGGGAAAATTCTAACAAGAAGCTGGCATGCTAGCATGTTACGTATTAGCAAGATTTCTGTCTTGCCACTAACCTTTTCGTTGTCTGTGTCCATGGTAGGTTCTTGCTCAAATATCAAAAAAGACAAGTAAACTTTAAAATGTGATGTTTAAGGTCTTAATTTACACGACTTTTAGCAGAAAAGGCCAACTAGTGTTAACGGGCAGAAAAGCGCAGACTGTGCTTTGCTGGTTTTTAGCGTTGTTTGTTGTCGTTGGTTACGAAGGTGGTTCCGTCTGTCATATTTCTCCTGTTATTTGCGCACACGTTTATTTAACGTAAAGTCTCGGATATTTGCGCACCAAAAACTAATCCCTAGTCGTTTTATCTTGGATTTTATTGACCAAAATGGGACAAAAGTTTAGGAAATTAAATGCACCGAATTTTAGGTAGGAAAAAACAGGCTTTATTGGTCTATTCTGGGGTGAATCTGAGTCTACCGGAACACAACAACACTTCTATATCACAATGGAAGAAAAAGCCACACAGAAAAAAATCATTTCATTTTATTAAAGAAATGAACATTGAATGTCCCAAATCAGCTTCTGTAAACATGCTGTTTAATGTGCCACAGCTCCAGGTCTAGAGAGGCTCCGCACTGCACAGCGTTTTCCCTGATCTAACACTGATTTGACTCTTGATTGATCATTTTATTATGCATTTATTCATTCAGTTGAGTTGGAGCAGGGAAAACACTAAGCTGAGCCGTGCTGTAGCTCTCAGGTCTCAGGACATATAACTGAGCACCGCATTCACATCTTTTCAGCCTTTTCTTCTGTTCTCAGAACTGAACAGTCGGTCTGATCCATGAAGCAGGAACCCACTGCGGCTCGTCCTGCGCTCTCCTGATCGCGGTCAGCAGCTGCACACATGAGGCCTGCAGGCCATCATTCACAATCACATGATCAAAGAACTGACTGTAGTGCTGCTCCATCTTCCGGCCTGCTTCCTCTATCTCCTGAAAATCTTCATCCTGAGAGAGACAGAAATAGAGACAGAGATGGAGGCGGAGATGGAGGGAGGGGGAGAAAAAGAAAGGAAAAAAGAAGAGGTAAGAAGGGAAAGAAAAAAGAGAAGTGAAAAGAGAGAGAGAGAGAGAGAGAGAGAGAGATAGTATGTGTGAAAGTATGAAAGAAAGAAAAAAGAGTAAAGCGAGAAAGAAAGAAAAGAGAGGTACAAAGAGAAAGAAAGAAGAGAAAAAAGCAAAAAGAAGAGAAAAAAAAGCATGAAAGAAAGAAAAAAGAGTAAAGTGAGAAAGAAAGAAAAAGAGGTACAAAGAGAAAGAAAGAAAGAAAGAAGAGGAAAAAGAAAGAAAGGAAAAAGAAAGACAAGAAGAGGTAAAGAGAAAGAAAGAAAAAGGGGGAAGTAAAAAAGACAAAGAAAGAAAAGAGGTAGAAAGAAAGAAAGAAAGATGTGAAACAGAAAGAGATATAGTATGAGCAACAGAGGGAAAAAGAAAGAAAGACAAATAAAGAAGGAGAGAATATTGACGAGTAATGGTCAGACAGACAGATCAGAACAGAATATAATAATATGAACACGACACTGAAAGACATCAGATGTCTGCTGGTCAACTTCATAGTCAGATAGAATTAAACTGCATTATGAGCCAGAACACAAAAACACTGACCGCACTACGACGAGTGGACTGACCTTAAAGGGCCGAGTGGTGTAGTAGCTGGTGATTAGCTGGGAGTTCATCCGCGTTCGCTTCATCTGGTCTAAAGGAGGAGGTTTTACATAGATGACGTACGCTCTCAGCTCATGGGTCCGTACTGCATCGATGGCCTGCAGAGAAGAGGACAGCCAACGCAATAATAATTTATTTAGTAAAGTAGGAATATATTAAATGCTGACGTCCTAACTTGACAGAAATGTGGAAATAAATAAAAAATGTAAATAATCGTGAATGCTTGTGTGCTGATGTTTGTCTAATGTTTGTCTATCTGTAAACAGAAACCTTTATTCAGAAGATTCTATTTTTAGCAGGCATCAATTACTAGTCATTCAACTTTGTCATTTTGTTCACACTGTCAGAATGCAACATAGAAAAAACACGCATAAAACTGTACAGCAGTGACATTACATAGCAGATTTCAACAACAACAATAACAACAGGGCTTTTTCAGGCAGTGATTATGAAGCCACATTCATAAGCAGTAATGCTCGTGACATGTTCTCGCCGTACTTTGGCTATGTTCACGTTACAAGCCTCATCGCTTAAATCCGATCTCTCTGACACGATGATTCACACTTGTTTAGGTAAATGATTCAAATCTGTCATTAATGTGAACAAACCGGCATCCTGAAATGACCCGCATACGCACATCCTACTCAGTAACGTCACGTGAGTGAATCACATCAGCACAAACTAACGAGCAGAACAAGCTTCGCTGAAGATAATTAACTCTGATCAGCTCTCAGCTTCATTATTAGAGCGAGACGAAGGAGAAAAAGGTGAGATGTGTTGCTTTTCCACCATTTCAGGCTTTAACTTCGGTTCTATGCTGCTGCCACGGTAACGCTGAATGAGGGCACACGTGCAGTGGAAAAAAAGCACATGAATTCTGATCTGAGCTTCACATTAAGGTCGCATGGCCACGAATCGGATACGTATCCGATCTAGGACCACATATGAAAGTGGCTCAGGTGGGATTTGAAAAGATCAGATTTGCGTGTCCACACAGCCCTGAAAACATCAGATCTGAGTCATATTAGGGCAAAAAATTGGATTTGTGCCACTTCAACCTGGTAATGTGAACACAGCCTTTGAGTTTCACTTGGCTGTAATAACAGCTGCAAACTGCATATTGTCTCAGATTGCCTCAGAGACAATTAATGGGACATAAAACTATAACTTAACAAGTCAGCACACCTTCCTTGATGTAGCTAATTTACACTTCTGTTCCTCATCATTCAGGTATATATGGATTCTCAAACTAGTCATCAAAGTCCCCAACAGTCCACATTTATGTTCTACTCCAGGCACAGAAGCCTCGGTCAGCTTGGTGCTTAATAGATGTTAATAAACTATAGAAAGATTAGATCTAACCCTGAGAAATGTACATAAATAAAACTTACATAAGGCTCAATGTCAATGATACAAATCTTCCCAGCAGTTAGGACAGCCTTCACTGCTTCCACACTGGTGCCATAGAAGTGGCCTCTGTACTCTCCATACTCTATAAAACTGAGCAGATAATCACGCCACAATGTCAACTCTGAACATCTTACAGCAAAACAAAAAGATTCCATATATAGTAATAATAATCCTGCTTGAAAAACATTATATATACAGTTGCACCATTAGTTCATGCACAATTGTATAACTGTCCAGATGGATTAGTGAGTAGAGTTACCACTGGTTGTACACCATGTTCTCAAACTGATCTCTGCTGATAAAGTGATACTCTCGACCAGGTTCTTCATGGCTCTTCAGAGGCCTTGTGGTGTCTGGATGGGAGAAAAAGGCACAGTACAGAAAAACACCATGCTGTACCCAACCCTTTAATCTGTAGGATACCTCCTCAACAACCACAAGTTAAGAAGTCTGAGTGTGTATTTATACTGACGTGGTGTGGCTCCCTGGTAGGTCTTTGGGTTAATCTCGATCAGTCTCCTGCGTAACTCATTCACACCAACTCCAGAGGGACCTAAGAAAGTAACACAGCTTTTTTTTTCCAATCCAACACTTTTCAAATGTTAAATAAACAAAATGTGTAACTAAATTTCAACACATGGCCTCAATCAACTAGATTAACTCTGAGATGAGGACATTCACACCTAGCATTCATCAGACCATGTGTGAAACAAACAGGAAATTAGTCATACCTTATGTTGAGCGTCACATGAGTAATAAAAACAAAGTATTTCCATATGCTAATGAGGTAAAATTAGTCAAATTAGTAGACACAGTTTGATTCACATACAGGCATCATAGTGGTAGTTTATTTAAATAAAGAACCAATTGTTTTAGAAGTTTAAGTGTTGAATTGTTTTCCATGTTGTACCATTGAAAAAAAAACTTTAGATACATTGTCCAATACTAAATCACGCTGAATTTCTAATCCTGCTTCTAAAGTGTCACTGATGCAAAGTACTGCTCTTACGAAGCATCAAAATCCATTTGATTGCCCTCATGTGGAGAATTGTTAGCTTGCTTAAGGCAAGTGAGCAAGAGAGTGAGCGAGCAAGCAGGAGTCAACATTGCCTATTGCCTGGTTTCTTGGTTTCACAATCTGGCTCCTAATAATTCGCAGCCCGTTACCAGACTTGCCTCTGGGTGTGGATTTTTTTTCATGTTTCCCTTTTAACAAAGCACCAGAGTAATTTTCACCCTTCCACACCAGATCCAAGGCCTGTTTGGTCAGACATGCAATGCAATTCCAACTAATCAGATTTTGTCAGAATTCACCAACCGTAATAACCACGATAGCTAAAGTGACAATGTTCGTATTAAAGTTTTTAACTTTTTTTAGGGTTCAGTTTTAAAGAGCAGCACCTGATTGGTTTTTGGTACTGGAGCACGCTTGCTAAAGGGCCCATATCTTACATTTTTCTCATATTTAATTTCCCCTTTTCCCCCTTTCCCTCCTTTGTGTGGTTTTATATACAAAAACACACACAGACAATCTAAGTTTATCTTCCTAAATTGTGGGGGTAGCTGGACCCTATCCCAGAAGTCAATGGGCAGAAGGCAGAAGACACCCTGAACAGGTCGCCAGTCCATCACAGGGCAGACACACAGACATATACATTCACATACACATTCACTCCAAGGGGCAATTTAGTGTCTCCAATTGGCCTGACTGCCTGTCTTTGGACTGTGGCGATAAAGGAAACCCATGCAGACACAGGGAGAACATGAAAACTCCACACAGAAAGAACCCTGGTCACCCAGCTCTTCTTACTGTGAGACCCTCCTTACGTCCTGTATTAAACAGAGTCCTGCATTGTGCCTCATTCAAAAAGCAATCCGAGCTGAAACATTCTTTATAACCTCAGCGTGAATGGGCAGAGCTGAACCACTGTAGGCTGAATGGATGGATAAATCTGACCTCACAAAAACAACGGATTCAAAATGAAGTATTTTTGCTAATTAGTTTCCACACATGGGCTGTATACATGTTTGAGAATACATCCAACCCCTTTATTTAAAAAAGGCTAAGATTCATTCTCCCATGATATGAGCCCCTTAATGTATATATGATAAACATACACAAACTCAATTTTGGTCACACGATTCATTTGCTTGGTGGCCTGAGTGGCCAGTATACACATGCTGACTCACCCAGCAGGGCGATGAGGCGATGTGTGTCCTCTGGGTGGTGCTGGTAACGCACCACCTCCTCGTAGGGGTTGGCCAGGGCACTGTAGCAGCTGCTGGGGCAACGGAGGGAGCAGGACAGGCCTGAACCTCCACCATGGACCCTCCGTCGACAGCACAGACGCAGACTCCGCCGAAACCCAGCTGAGTCAGTGAAAAACATGCACTGTCAGTGAAGTTACAATACCAAACAGAAATAACTCCATCATACACATAAATACAGTTAATACAGTTACAGCATCAACCAGAAACAGTCACAGTAGCAACACCCACAAATACACAACCCAGCCTAGCATTACATAAAAAAGACAGACTGCCTGTTCTTTCAGGTACAATATGAGAGATGAACAAATATGAAAACAAAATTTCTTATGTTCTGATTACTTCTGAAGATATAGGAATAAACGGTTAAAATACAAACAGTGTCATTCAGAGTGGTTTAATGTAAAATCTAGAAATCTAGAAAAAAGTACCGAGCTAGAATTGTTCACAGTTCTGGTGATAGGAACCAGACGTCCTGAGAGTTTAATGCCTCTAAAAACTCTCTCACACAAAATTATTACGCTAAAAGGTTGTGAAACTCTTGCCTGATACCCGATAGATTTAGGTAAGATTTTGATCTGAAACATATCTTTAACAATTCATTCAGTGCTGATGGGTACATGCAGCGTGTTGCGAAACAAAATAGTACCCCAAAGAATTTTTGTCTGAGATTTATCACCATTTTACCGTTATCCACATCGCATATAAAAACTCAGAAGACACATGTAGATCCGCTGGACATTTTGGATAGTAAACATAAAAACCTCTGGTTCCTGTAACCACCACTGTAAGAAAATCTCAGTCAGTTTCTCTACTTCACAACAACTCTGAACGACATCTCAACTACTGAATGATGCAGAAATTCAGAAAAAAAAACAGTGAAATTCCTTTTTTCGTTTTTTTAACGAAAAAGTGAACCACTTACCAAGATAGATTCCCTCAATGTTGGTGCTGAACTCGCTCTCCTCTGATAGCCAAAGACAAACCAATAAACAAGTTCTGAGTCAAATTACTATGAAAACCAGGAATTTGGAAACCAAATGATGACTGAGGTTGTCTATGCGCTCACCTTCCCTAAGCTCCTCTTCTCAGTCACCATGCAGAATAAAGAGGAAAAACATGGTGAGGATGATGTGCAGTATTGTCTGGAACTGAAAAAACTGGAGAAGGGCTTTGGACTGACATGCATATTGTTGGAAAACAGGCCAAAGAAAGTGCCTGTGATTGACAGGCACATTAAAAAAGGCTTCTTTAGATCTACGGGTGTAGGGACAGAACAACTACTGGTCTGCCTATGAGTGTCTGTTTATAGTACAAGCTGTGTTACACATTATATTTCACACATGTATCATTTATTAAAAAACTGTTTATAACCTTTGTAATATTTTTGTGTGAAGCCTACAAGTAAGCGATTTTCTGTTCATCGCCCCTGACGTAGGGCTAGGTATTTTTAAACATTGTCAATATTGATATACTAATAATATCAATACCAAAACCTTTGAATTCCCGAATGATACTTTTTTGATACCTATTTTAATTACAAAAATAAAAGTGGGTGTGGTTTAGAGCAGAAATAAGAGAGAGCTGCATGGAGCGGAGATTTTTACTGAGAGTATCAGATTACAGATTAATCGAGAAGTGCTGACATTTACAACATGCATACATGATGCAATTAAGACAGCCAATCAACAGTCTAAATTTCGAAACAAGCATGCTTATTGGACCATGGATGATGAGCTCACAAAGAATTACTAAGGTACTAAAATCCAGTATGAGAGAAAGTTTCAATAATCAGTAGTACTGAAGTAATTTGGTCAGTACCATAAAAATATTGAATTTTGATACGCAGTCCTACCCTAGAATGTGTATTTTTTAAAAGTCTGTCTTAAACATCGGTGCTGTGGGTCAGCTCAGGTTGGGTTGGGAAAGTTCTCGGGCTGAATTCAGGTGGGAGCAAAATTTCCGGCCCGCTTAAAGCTCTAATTCACAGTGCCGCTGGCTTTTATGTACCCTCCTCATGGTGTCACAAAAGTCATGGCATTTAAAGACATACGGATTTTGGGTAACATGCATTGCATATTATTTAAGTTCAAACTTCATGATAGACTCTCAGTCTAGTCTAAAAAGAAAGGACTTACCTACCAGATTCAAAAGCTTCCTCATCTGTAAGAACAGTACATTCCATTAGTGAACGTGTCTCATGAAGACATAATTTCAAGATTCTTATACACTGAATAAGATCTGTACCTGCTTCTATGAAGGTCACATCTATCGCCAATATGTCGTCCTCTGAGGAAAGGAGAAATTGGAGTGGAGGACAGGAATAGAGAGGTTAAGCTGTATGAAAACAAGAGGCTTTTTATTTCGACAGCACTGTCAGTGAATGTTCCTCACCTTCGTCCACTGTGCTCACTGCAGATTAGCAGAAGAGATCAACACATCAGTATGAGATTATGATGGTTCATGCTGGGACATTAACTGCTATGTTAGTAAAGGATAAGCTGGGCGATTTTGTACTTAAACACACAAATCTTGTTTAGATATCACTCACACAGACACTTTACTACTGACTTGTATTGCCATACCTAAATTAAATGGACGTAGTCTACATAATATACAGGTATATGCTGTAAATCCACTAGAAAACCACTAGGATTTGTGTGTATCTGCTTTAAAATACACAGTGATACGTATCTCTGTTACTATTATTCTATGTGAAATGTAGACAGCAAAGTATTGAATTGACATTGACACGCAATTCTGAATGTCAGTGGACATAAAACTGTCCCTCACTCATCATCAAGCTGACTGACAAACTGAAAAATGCAGCCATAATGTGTCCTAATGAGATCCGAACACCTCCGCTAGATCATAGCAACAGTGAATAACCCTGTGCACCACAGACAAGCTTTCAAAATGGTTGCATATGACTGTAAAACATGCAATATCTGTTTATAATACTGTACCCCACACACAATACTGTAGCATATTAGAAGGTTTTGAAAGCTTGTCTGTTGTGCACAGGATGCACAGGGTTTGCTGCACGTGACACATTGGGAAAAAACTTCCTGTGCATTAACACATTTTATATTATATGTTTTATTTTTTCCCAATATGTTTGCAGAAAAATATAATATTTAAGTGCGTTCTCTGTACAGTGGAGGATGTCTCTGTACATTCTGAAGATGTGTTAACTTATTTTTACTGAGAAAATCAACAAAACATGTAATTTGACCAGAGGTGTTCAACCTTTTGCACACAACTGTATATGTAAATATAAATTATTATATTATACACCTGATATGCCAAGTGTTGGGAGGGAGTGGTGAAATTTTACTTATCCCATCATTACCTTTAATAGAAATAAAAAAGAAATTCTATTCTAATTTTCTGCTTAAGTTAGTCGAACAGCCAATTTCTATTTGGTGTCCAAACTTTGCTTCTTTAGTTTTAAAATGGAGCTATGAGGCTAATTTGCTAACAAACACTAGAAGTCCACATTCACCCAAATCGTTTCTGTAAGTACAACCAGAGCCGGTTTTTATAAGGAGCCTGGCCATTTCCTATTTCCCCCGTTATATCAAAAACATGACTGCAAAACAGCAGAGGGCGCTGCGAGGGAGTACTCAATGAATGGGAGTAAACGGAGCTCAACAGCTAAAAAACGAAAAGTTAAAATAGTTTCTAATCACTCGCTCAGAACGTTTCTTTAATATTAGAAAGCAGAAGAATTTATTTCACTAAAAAAGCAAAGAAATCTTACCTATATATTTCCTTTTTTCTACATTAAACGGGTTTTGGGCAGCAGGGCACTAACTTTGCTGCTACTGAGAGCTGATTGGTTGGCAAGCGGAGCGGCTCATTGACTGTTTGCACTTACAGATGTCATGAATGTACATGAGCCGCTGTTTTAAAATTCTATAGCTTGAGTTTAAAAGGTCTTAAAAAATCTAACAGCAGTATTAAAATGTTTTATGCTGTTCTGTGTTCAGGAAATAAATGTATTCTTTTACATTAAAAATGTTTAAGAATTTATAAACTATGATTTTGCTCAAATGCTCCATATCAACCCATTCATTTTGGATTCGCTCAGGAGCGCCCCCTAGTGTTTGAGAAACCAGGAAGACATTACAGAGTGATAATTCTCCTCTCTACAAGTTCTCTGGTATAACCCCAAAATGTCTCTCAAACCACTCAAACTACATTCAGGTCGTCACATGTCAATACAGTTTATGACAAAGTATGACTTGAACTATAAAAATTAGCAAAATTTCACAGTGTAGCTGGTAGCGTTAGCCTCATAGCTGCTAAATTTGGATAGCAAACATGTCTCGGCTGTTTAAATGAAATGTTACTTCTACTTAAACTTAGAAATACACTAAATGAACAGCACATAACTGGAGTAATGTTAGTTATTAATTTCTGAAATAAATGTAGGTAGGTGTTTTTGTTGTGTGGCACTACCAAGGCTAATCTTGCTAACAGCACAACATACCTACTTCAGCCTAGATCACACCACTGCTAAACCCCAGTATGGCATTAAAGATGCAGTGTGCAGGATTTAGGGGGATCTATTAGCAGAAATGGAATATAGTACACAAAACCATGTTTTCATTGGTGTATCATCACATGTGACTATGAATCCCTGTGTTTTTTAGCTCAGAATGAACGCTTCATATCCACATAGGGAACGGCTCCTTTTCCAACAGAGGCCGCCATGTTGCGCCACCATGTTTCTACAGTAGGCCAGAACATATGAACCAAACACCAGCTCTAGAGATCCTTTTGTGTTCTTATGTTGAAACTGCAGCTTGAATTTGGTGTCACTACAGCACCGGTTGATTGATTCAGAAAGAAGTAGAATCAGCGGTTGCTGCCATTGCTGACTAACCACTTAAGTTTAAGAACCCAAATTTTGACAAATAGAGGATCATACTTATTATTTAGCACAAGAAAAAGCGAGAGAGGGTAAATCCTTGTTGTCAAAGAAGCGAAAACATGAAGAAGCAAAACAAAATTGTGACAGGCGACAGCAGAAAACCTGACGGCCACCATAGGTTTTACTACATGCTTGGAAAGGTGGGGTGAGGATAGGGTATCAGAGCTGGTTTATGAGGAGGCTGGCCGCTTCCTATTCCCCCCATTATATCAAAAACAGGACTGTGAAACAGCAGAGGGCGCCCGCGAGGGAGTCCTCAATGAATCGGAGTAAATGGTGCTGAATGACTAAAAACGAAAAGTTAAAATAGCTTCTAATCACTCGCTCAGAATGTTTCTTTAATTTTAGAAAGTAGAAGGATTTATTTCACTAAAAAAACAAAGAAATCTTACCTATATATTTCCTTTTTCTATAGTAAACGGGTTTTGGGCAGCAGAAGGCGGGTATTACCGCTAGTGAGTGCTGATTGGTTGGCAAGCGGAGCAGCTCACTGGCTGTTCACGCTCACAGACCTACATGAGGTGCCGTTTTAAACTCCTATAGCTCGAGTTTAAAAGCTCTTAAAAATATAACAGCAGTGTTAAAATGTTTTATGCTGTTCTCTGTTCAGGAAATGATTGTATTCTTTTACATTAAAAATGTCTGAGCATTTATAAACTGTGACTTTGCTCAAATGCTCCATATCAACCCATTCATTTTGGACTCGCTCAGGAGCGCCCTCTAGCGTTTGAGGAAACCGGAAGACAGAGTGGTAATTCTCCTCTCTACAAGTTCTGTGAGGGTATTCAGTTAGTTGCAATCTGCAACCTCACCACTAGATGCCGCTAAATCCTGCACACTGCTCCTTGAAACAATAGCACTGCAAAAATTACACACAATTGTGTGCTCAGAACTAATGAAGTATTCTGGTTCTTTTATTATTCATTATTCATTATTCACTACTAAAAAAGCACAGCACACATACAAACATAGACACATAATCTGTACTCACAGGTTTTGATGCAGGTGTGAGGTTGATATGGCTGCGACCACCAGAATTCTCTCTGCTTCCTGTACACACCAGACAACCCAAACAAACTGAGAATGTGGAGAATCTTAAAGGCGCCACATTACATATTAATTCACTCTAAAGGAACACTCCAACCAAAATGAAAAATTTAACCATCTCTACATCTCATCTCCTACAGAGGTGCCGCATTTCTAGAGTGAGACTTTGATTTAAAGACCAAGACAACACTCTTCTGATGATCTGTTTTTAAGGTGGGAACTTCTGAAAACTACAGCTGTCTTGGCGTGGATTATTAGGGGCGGGCTGTTCGGCTGAAGCGTTTTTTTCAGTAGCTTTTGAAAGCAGAAAGAAGGCAGGGAGCTAACATTACTGCCACGAGGCCAAATATCTTATTGTAGCCATATAACTGTAATAACTGTTTCCAGATCATCATTACAAAGGAGAAATTAGATTACTCGAACAACAGAAATGACTCGTTAGCCCCAGATAGCGAGCATATATCGGCCCACTGGTTTGAAAAGGTCAGCACCCCACTGACTGTTTGCCGCTGCTGGTCCACCCTCGGACCACCCAGATTATTGTTCTGCATACAAGCTCTAACTAGTTTTTAATCTTCTCAAACAGATTTTAAATGCACAGAGACTTTTATTTTAGAAAATAAAAACTTTTTTACAAAGTTTACAAATTTTACAAACATCCAAGAGAAAAAAAAATAATGAAAAAAAATCAGTAAATTGGACTGTGAGTGGAAAATGAGTGATGATGAGTTGGCTTTTGTCTAATACTCCGCTTAACCGCCAGTGGACCGCCGGAAAACGCTGAGTAAAACGCCAGTGGGCCGCCAGCTTTGCCATTAGCGGGCCGACAGTGGACCACTGCCCTCTTGCTATCAGTGATAACTCAGTTTGGCTTCTTTTTTTCTGGCTGAAAGCATAAAAACTTGTCTCTGGTGTCCATTTTAGTGTTGAATAAAGATACAATCACTGTTTTCTTCATAGTTTTGTTCAGCAAGCAAAGTAACACTTTAGTTACACTAAAGCTAGACTGGTTGTATTTATTAGCCTCTAGATCAGTGGCTAGGCTAGCAGTCAGAATTGGTTGACATCACCAATGATGTATTTGTGTTATGGGAATTTTAGCTGTTTTTATACTATTTAAGACCTTGTGAGTTTCTGTTGTTCATTTAAGTTTTAATATTTTACTGAACTGACACATAGAGCACAATTTCACAACTAAAAACTGAAGTAAAACTATTGAAGTCTATTTATTTTTTTTACCACATAAAATTATATCAGCTGATCTTATTAGTTATCAGATTTTTTAGCCCCTTAGCTTCCTTGTTATCAGTGACAAACTTTTCATGTCAGTCTGGCCCTGTTATTCAGTCATTTGTGACCTGTGCGATCGAGAGAGCTTTAAGCCTTAACCCTTAAGCCCTTATCTGACCTCTTGAGCAGGGAGGAGGAGGGGATTAGGCCAGCGCAGGCGGAGCTACACGGCAGTTTCTTCGCCTGCCACCAGAGAGCGTCTGTCTGGTCCACTATCTCCAGCAGATCCCCCCTCCTGAAAGCCATGCCAGCGTCCGCACAGGGGATGGCCGGGTCCTGCTGGGGGCTGTAGTCCACCAGGGCACGCACATACAGCTGAGAGTGAGACAGAACCATTAAGGCCCATATACAGCATGTACTACACATGGTACAATGCCACTTTTCCCCCAATTCCAATACTGAAACCATACATGACAGCTAATACCAACAGTAATCCAATATTTTAGCATCAAATAATACTAAGCTTTAAAATGAGCTATTTTAATGACAAAAAACAGAGTTGTAGAGTAGTAGCATCATAATAGAGTCATTTTACACACAAATCATCAATAAACTGGTTGTAAATGATTGGCTAATAATTCCAAACTTTTGAACAATAGTGTACTTTAGGCTATGTATGTCTATTGTTTACCTACCACTATTTACCTACTTTACTTTGCTTGATATTACATTGCACTACAAGCAATTATGTGATGTTGATATTTCAGGCTAGATTTGTTACAGCACCGGAAAAAATAGTTTTTTTTCCCTCTGATATCTAATCCAACAATTGCTGCTAATACTTCCCCAATACTAATATTACGTATTAGGTTATTGCCATTGCTAGTATTTACACAGAGAAAAGACTACAAATAGACTTTGTCGTTATCAGAGCATGACAACAATGCACTTTATCAGAAACCCTTGTACTTCCACTCGGTAGCCACTGAGTGGTTCACTGTATAGGTGTGCAGTTATAGACTGTAGCCTGTCTGTTGTCATTAACATTTTACAAGCCCCCCCTCTACCCTATTCATTACTGGTCAGTTTCTGACCACAGAACCCATGTTGTCCAGATATTATTAAGGTGGTGGACCATTCTCAGCACAGCAGTGACATGGAAGGGTGTATATTGCCGGTGTAAGTATATCAGCCACAGCACTGTTGCTCTGGCTTTTCCACATATAGACCTCTGAAGTCTGTGGTTGGTGTCATACCCATATTAGGAAAACATGTCTATGAGAAAAATAAATAGCCTTTTGGAAAATGACAAATTTTGTGGTTGCACCAAGCTGTAAATTAAAATTAAAATTAAAATGTTCTAAAATTGATACTTTTGGTCCTGTACATTCTTCTTCCAAGGCCAAATCCCGATTTACCCCTTGCCCCTACTACTTAGCCCTTACCCCTCTGTTTCGCGCGTTCACGCCTACAGGTAGGGTGTCCCCATTTTTGATGAGATAGAGGGGTAGGGTGAAGTGATTGGGCTAGTTGGCCCTCCAAACACAGGTTTTTCAGAGGCTCACTCCAAACAGGGTGTGGTGAGAAACCAGCAAGATGGCTGCGCAAACGACCAAAGAAACCCACTAATGTAAACATTTTCTCCGTTAAAAAATATGATAACCATCATATTGTCTTAGTTCAATATTGTTTCAGTGTATTATAGTCCTTTTCTTCATAACAAGCATATAAACCTGCTAGTAGTATGCTGATGTCTGGGTAGCTAGCAAGCTAAATGTCCCGTTCCAACTTAAATGGTGAATCGCCAGAATGTAACTGCTGCTCCATTTAAGGTGGAATGGGAAAATACGAACAAAAAGCTGGTGAATAGCTGACTTCAGCTTCATACCACTGATGAATTAGGCGTGGACGATAACAAATAATTGTCACATCCCCCTCTTAGAAGGTTGAATGATTCCCTAAATTGAACTAAAGACCAGCAGTGAGGTTGCCGAACTTTACCCTCCTCTGCTACAGGGGAAGATTTCAACCACTACCTCTTGTAACTCAGTTTCAAGGGGCAAGGTGACACTGAAAAACAAGGGGTAGGGGTTAAAATAAGAAATGGGATTGGGTCCAAGTGTCACTGGATGTTCTGAATAACAAGGTCCTTTAGCAGTCGAAATAGGAATAATACTACATACACACTACCAGAAAGCTACCAGCCCTGCACACTGAAATGACATTGCATGAAAGTAAGTCTACTATTAAACTTCATCAATATTGTATGCCAACTCAAACTGTAGACAATTACTGCCAAAGCAAATACCACAGTGGATAAATTCATTGAATTTGTGGGGTATTTTGGTGAGGTTGCCCATTTTATCATGTCAATTCAGTGCACAGCTGCGTTAACTTGCATGTAGCAATAGTCATATTTCAGCTCCTTAACAGCCTCAAAATTAGGAGGATCAGATGTCCCTGTGGCAAACGTATCAATTTTGGAAGATTTTATTTGCCACTGATTGATAGCACACAAACACACACACACACACACATTTTCTAAACCGTTTATCCTTCTGGGTCGCAGGAAGAGCTGGAGCCCACCCCGGCTGCCATTGGGCGGAGGGCAGGACACACCCTGGACAGGTGGTTTATAGCAGAGATTCAAAATATTTTAAAATCTTTTTCCCTTCCAGACAACCAGCTTAGACCTACATATCCTAATATGGACACAACACTGAATACAGAATACAGATACCCAGGTCTGTAGTTGATGAGGTAAACAAACAGGTACACAAACACACTTAGAAATATACTGACCATCGTTTGGTTGTTTACAGGTCTGTCAGTGATGGGGACCACCTTAAACATGACAGTTCCATGGGAATGAGCCTGTTGGGGACAAACGGAACTGATCAGGCTACATCAAACCAGCTTTAAAATAATAATAATAATAATAATAATAATAATAATAATGCAATGAGAGTGCTGACCAGTATCTGTATTATCTGCTCTGGTTCCAGTCCAAACACTGGATGGCCGTTCACCTCCACCAGTCTGTCTCCTGCATGCAAGAGGCCTGCAGCATGGAAACAGCAATACAAACGACATGCACTCCTGTCAAAAAGCACTGGACGCCAACCATTTTGGTAAAACTATTTGCTGTATGCTGCTCTTCCTTCGCATACAATCAAACATTCACTGAAGATGCTATTGACACAACGTCACTGGACACCTCAACACGCTTGGAGGAGAACGCTAACTGCCAATTCTGTTACATCAGCTAACAGATGCGAGCACTGGCTAGCATCAGGCTGAGTGATGGCCATCCTACCTAGTCACAGAGATTATGATCTCTTGGACTTTGTTGACAGTCAAACTCACAATCTTCAATTGACAGAGCCAATGCTTTAACAGAAGCACCACTCATGAGCCCTCAAACTCAAAATATTACGAATAATGTTGGGCATCTTACACTCGAGGTATAAACAGTTGATATGAAGGTTCCAGACAGGACTGAAATCACAGAGATACTCTGAAAATAATTACTAAAAATAACAATAATTTCTTCCCCATCCAAATATAAACTAATCTCATCTGAATAATACTTCAGAAAATGCAAGCATTTTAGTGGTAAATGCCCATCTTTTCAGCAGCACTATAGAACGGTACATTCTCACCACTGCGGTCAGCCAGTCCTCCGTGAATAACTCGAGCCACATAGATCTCTCCTGTCGTTTCATCTCTTCTTATCGTTGCTCCCTAAAAGACAAAGCAGACACATAAAACTTCATAATCTCAAAATGAATGAATGTACTTAAAGGGGCATTCGGGCCTAAAACTAGCATTGATGCGTTAATTGTTGTGTTACATTCTGTAGCCCAGTATTGTATCGTTCTGCCTCAATGGTTTCTCACAATTCTTGATTTTGTATCCTATTTGTTTCCGTCCATCAGTGTTCTCTCACTACAATACCCACTATGCATTATGCAGATACATCATTTGTCCACTGGAAAATCCAGTGATGTTAAGACTAATGACATTTGGCGTTCCAGCAGTAACATTAGCTACCTGGCTCCCTTCTGCATTAGCCAGCTTGCAGAAACCAAAACAATTCTAACAGCCCACCCTCATTTATCTGCCTCAGTAATTCCTTCCACCTTCAAGAAACATCATACACCAATCAGGCATAGCATTATGACCACCAGTTTTTAAACACCTCAGTGTCACTGCTGGACTAAGAATCGTCCACCAACCAAAAATATCCAGACAACAGCGTCCTGCGGGCAGCGTCCTGTGACCACTGATGAAGGACTAGAGGATGACCAACAAAAACTGTGCAACAGCAGATGAGCTATCGTCTCTGACTTCACATCTACAAGGCGGACCATCAAGGTAGGAGTGTCTAAAAGAGTGGACAGTGAGTGGACACAGTGTTTAAAAACTCCAGCAGCACTGCTGTGTCTGATCCACTCGTACCAGCACAACACACACTAACCCACCACCATGTCAGTATTACTGCAGTGCTGAAAATGATCCACCACCCAAATAGTACCTGATCTGTGAGGGTCCATGGGGGTCCTGACCACTGAAGAACAGGGTAAAAGGGGGCTAACAAAGTATGCAGAGAAACAGATGGACTACAGTCTGTAACTGTAGAACTACAAAGTGCACCTATATAGTAAGTGGAGCTGACAAAATGGACAATGAGTGTAGAAACAAGGAGGTGGTCATGATGTTATGCCTGATTGGTGTACATCATCAAAAAGGGTTTTTCCTAGTCTTAAAACAGGAAAATCTCCCTTTTGAGACTATTTTGGCACCTCTGTTGGAGGCGAGTAGTCATGTTTACAGATGATGTAGTAGTGGTAATGTTTTTCTTTTAGCCAAAGTGTCTCTTTAACATCTAAAAACTCTGAGATAGAAATGGAAGCAAGACAGACAGATGGCAGTCACACTGAGTGATAAGTCAATGAATGAATGGTTTTAAGCAACAGAAAAGATGAAAATGAAAATGAATGTCCAAAGAAGAGCAAATGACGATGATGACAATGAGGATGAGCTGAAGAAGAGAAGAATCTGCTGAATGAAGTAATGAGGAAATAAAGAATATAAAAGATGGTGAAAGTGAGTATGCCGATGGTGCTTATGAAAACAGAATAAAATCTGTAAACTAACACCTTATTTCTTCTTTTTCTTCCTCTTTTTCTTTCGGTCAGAGAGGCATCCTATTCCACTGCTGCTGTCCCTGTGATTTTGGGTGGAGTTAGACCTCCCCAGGCCATTGGGCATGTCACCCTGTCTCCTTGGAGATAAAGGTGATGGCTTTATCTTGACTCCACCTTTTGGTGATGCGCTGCTGGAGACAGGCTGAGATAGTCTCCCTCGAGAGGCCACTGGATGCTCCAGGAAAATGCTGATGGAGCTGGAAGAAGAGGAGGAGGTAGAAGAGCAGGATGGGCAACGCGAATGGCGAGTAAGTGCAGAGTGGGCCTGACCAACATGGGCATTAGTAGAGATGTTTTCATCCCTCGAATGCTGTGCACTAGCCAGTGCATTGGCAGTGGTACGTGGATTTGCATTTCCAAACTGAGTGGACACTGCAGCATTGCCAGCATTTCTGTCCTTAGATCCTTCAGACGTTTCCTCAAAGTGTACTGCCAGTGTCCGTGGTGCTGATGCTGTGTTGCTAGTGCTTACCGGGCCCTGCAGCTGTGCAATGGCAGGTACACTGACACAAAGATCTGCATCTCTAGACTGAGAGGACATAGAATTTCCAACTGTAGGTTCTTCAGATGTTTCTTCTGGATCTGCAGTTCTAGATTGAGAGCACCCTTCCATACGTTCTTCAGAAGCTTCCTCTGATGTCTGTGGTGCTGAAGCTGCACTACTAGCTGCAACCAGTCCCTGCAGCTTCTTCACCACCTGGGCCAGCATAGCCAGGGCCTGAGCGTTCTCTTGGACGCTCTCAGACATGCGCTCTGTGGCAGCGGCCATCCTCTGGCCTAGGAGATGGACGTCCTGCGAGCTACGTTCCATACAACTAGCTGCCTGCTGGACCGTGCTGCGCAGCTCATCCAGGCTGTCCTGCTTGGCCAGCTCCACTGGAGGGTTCCCCATGGCCATCATTACCCGATGGCAGTGCATGGGGCTGGGGGGAGCTGTGCGGGCATAGCGGGCAATTCTGGGTGGGAGAGGAGGGGCGTGTGAGGGGTAGCAACGGGGAGTTAGATAAGAATGTGGGATGTGGGTCCATGGGGAAAGAGTACAATGTGGATGGACAGGCAGTATGGGGTTCCCTATATGACAGGCACCCTCAGCGCCCATGCCATCAATAAAGTCGTCTCCAAAGGAAAAGAACAAGTGACCAGAAGAAAGGAGAAGAAAGATGGACAAAGCTGATTAGGTAACGCAACTTGAAGCAACACCAGTCAAATACTGAACACTTGAACTTCATTACTTACCAATGACTACTGAGCTACAGACACAAGGGACGGAGCAACTGAGGCTCCTGTCCCAGAAAGCACTGCTCTGATGACACAGTTTGCAGCTGCCAGCACGTTTGGAGCAGGGATGAGTCTTCAGCTGGACAGGCTTAGGGGAAGAAGGTACTTCTGCAGGACTGTTAATGACTTTCTGTGGGGTTTCGTGCTTTTTGGTACAAAGACCCCCAGATTGCCTTTGGCGGGTCAGCTTACGCAGGGTGTCCCAGTGGCTGCGGATGCCCCTACCTACACGACTCTTCTTCAGAGGACATAAGACTTTAGTTATCCACCAAAGCAAGCAGCAAACAACTGACAGATGTGAGAGTAAAGCCCAATAAGGTACAACGTGGAACACAGCTTGGAACATCTAGAACGTAATATTTAAGTTACGTATTTATGGGAGTGAGGAGGCCTACACAAGTTTCTTTAGGGTATAAAGCTTAAGGGAACCTAAAGCCATGTTTTCTTTATAATTACGTTTATTTTGCTCTTGTGGGAACACAATACAGATGTACAGAGCATACCCTGTGAATAATGTTCCAGTGCCCAATAAAAGACTGATGTATTTCACCAAAATTCTCCTTTCATTTCGGACTGGATGATCCTAATTTTGGGTACAGCTTATGGAAGCATTACTTTCTCCAATTGCAAGGCTGATGTGGTAAAATTTCGAGAACAAAGTCGTAATATTTCTAGATAAAAAGTCGATTTGATTATCATTCTCATTGTCTCCTGTGAAACTACATGCCCTCTTCGAATGGGACTGCAATCTACAAGGTTAACTACTGGTAGCCTTTTAGACGCCACTGCCTGCGAGTTCTCCTTCAACAAAAGAGACAGTTTCCTCAGAGTTCGTCTGGTTATTTATTCTAAATAAACACAATTTCTTGCACAGCCATTTCAGCCATTTCTTATAGTAATTCCAGTGGTGCTGATGTGTGAGGACACTGAGTATTTCTTTATCGGAGAAATCGATACTAAAGTATAACTCTACCAACTCCTCAACGTCCCTAATTTTAACAGGAAGAGGCTGCTACCTTCTTTTTGCAAACCCTTTGGTCACAATATTGTGACTTTTCCTGGTAATATCCCACTTAATGTTGCAATTCTACGACTTTTTCTCGAAATATTACGATAAATAAAGTTAAATAAGTACGATAAATAATATTATTCTCAAAATATCATACCGTACCATTTTTTATTTTGAAATATTACGACAGAAACTGAGTGAAAGCTAATCACCATGCAAAAGCTAATCTAGCGTGCATAACTGAGCTATCAAGCTAGCTCATCTGTCTGTAAGTCTGTCTTTTGTCATTCTGTGAATGCATTCTCTGGATGTACCATCCAGCAGTACCGCAACTAAACATGGTACTTTAGGACATTTTTTTTGGTGAGTGGACACAGCGGTGTGTAGAGCACCAGACACATATATATAGAGCCCCTTTTACTCATTTCTCCCTGCCGCCACAACTGTG